GAACTGGGAGTGGGTGGATCTGGCTGGGTCACAAAAGCGTGGACCTCTCCTGCCTTGGGAAGTGGACCCGGCATTGCCCCAGTGGCACAGGAGCAAGGACAGGAATCCCATGGCACAGGGCGGGGGAGGGCACTGTCAGGGGGGCAGAGTGGGTGCAAGGGTGGGGAGAGGGGATGCTGTGGGCATCTGCCAGTCTGGCTGGAGCAGCAGGTTCAGGCGTGCATGGCAGACAGAGGGAGGTGAGGCTGGGGAGATAGGCTGGGGCCGGACTGTGGGGGCGTGTCAGTGGGGGTGGGGGAGATAGGGATGTGCACGTGCCCTGTGCCAGTGGATGGGTTGCTAGTGGCTTCTGACTTCGGGGGCTGCCCCTCTGCAGTGTCCTGGGTCTGTGGTATTCCTGAGAGGCTGGCTGGCCAGGAACCACTGTCCTCTTCTGTAAATGAGGCCACTGGGGTCCAGAGAGGGCAAGCTCTGCCTCCAGGCTGCCCAGCCAGGACTGGGACCCAGATTCCCTATCCAGGGTTGGTGCTCTGGGTGCTCACCAGGGTAGGGGCTGCATTGGCATCCTGGGGTCCTCTCCCTTCTGGGCTGGGAAAGCAGGGCTCTCAGCCACGCTCATGGGTCGCCTGCAGCCTGTCCCCATCAAGGCCTGCCTGGCCCATCCCAGGCCGAAGGCCAGGAAAGTCACACCAAGAGAGGAGAACTAGGCAAGCTCGTCCTGAGAGAGGGCGAGAGAGAGCCATGGAGGAATCAGAGGCGGGAGGGCTCCATGACTAACTGGGGGCGAGAATCAGAGAAGACTGCCTGGAGGAGGAGTTTGTCTGGGGGAAGGTGTGGAGAGAGATGAGCAGCAAGGATGGTCGGAGGCAGATGGTGGCAGGTCTTGAAGTCAGTCTCTCTCTCTGTCTCTCTCTCTCTGTCTCTGTCTCTCTGTCTACATTTTTCTCTGTCTCTCTCTGTTTTACTTTCTTTCTCTCTCTGTCTTTCGGTTTCTCTCTTGTGCCCTGGGCCAGGGGAACTGAGGGCAGAGTGGAAGCGTCTGACTTGCTTTGGCTAATTTCTTGACCGTGGGCATAACAGGAGGATTAGCCCGGGTCTCGCGGGGTCCTCCCTGGCTCCCTAACCCCACGGCCCCTTTTCCCTAGCACAGAAGCAATGAACTTGTTCTGAGTCCCTAATTAGCTAATTATGCCTCGGCTCTGGGGCCCTGGGACTGCCTGGGCCCGAGGGAGGGCTGAGACGTGAGCTGGGGCCCAGCGGGGGAGGGAGGGAGGCGGGAGAGGAAGAGGGAGCAGCCGGCAGGTTTTCAGGAGCCTTTCAGAATCTCAATATCCTGGCGAACATGGGAATGTAATTAATTGAGCAACAAAGGCTGGGCCCCGGGGAGCAGCCACGGAGCAGCCAGGCTGGGGTTGTGCTGACTGTCTCCTCCAGACCTTTCTGATCCACCCCGTTCTCGCAGCTGCTGCCCAGCCCTCTGTGCTTGCCTCTCGCCCCTGTCCCGGCCTCCAGGATTGCCCAGAGCCCATCAAAGGCTGACCCTCCCTGACCAGTCACCTAGCACAGAGCCCCACACCCTTTAGACGCCACCCCCACCCCCCAGCACAGCCTCGATGCCCTCTCTGCGTGGTCCCACCTGTGTGCCTTTGCCACAAGCTCCTGTCATCCTGCGGGACCCAGTTCAAGTCAGCCCCTCCAGGAATGTGCCGGAAGCTGCCCCCACTCCCCAGGCATGGTCCTTTTTCCTAACGCAGTGGTTGCCTGTCCCCCTCTGCTAGACTGCAAGCTCTGAGGGGTGAAAAATGGTACTTGTTCATCTTTGGATTTCCCACATGCCCAGCACTGTACCTGGCGCGCAGCAGTATTTTAAGTTTTGATGAATGAATGAATGATGGGGCCCCAGAAAGGTCTGCAGCTGACTTGCTGAACATTCGGATGGCTTCGAGGTTGCTCTATCTTCTTGCGTCCCTCCTCTGCATGCCCCCTGGCTCCCTGCTGGGGAGCTGGCATGGGGAGGTGGAGTATGGAGCCCTCCCTCAGCCTGGCCTCTTGCTCTGAAGTGGAGGCAGCAGCCTGCAAGGAGCCCCACTCCTTCCCTGAGAGGAGGCTGACCTAGTTTTGTGGGGCGGGAGGATGGGGTGGGCATTAATTATTGGTTGGAAATCACTCCACACAGGGCCCGTGATGCAAATCCCAAATAATTACCTTTGTTAATAACCACCTCAGCATGACCTTTGGAATAAATAAAAATCTGGACAGAGCCACTGATCTCCTTGTCACCATCGTTCTATCCTCCCCTCTCCAGTCTTCCACTCTCTCTCCATGACTTATCACATCATTCATTCATGAGCGGTTATTCAACAAATGTTGGCTGAGCCTCTGTTCTGCGCCAGGACCTGCTGGGTTCTGGGAACGCTGATTCAGACCAGCCCTGCCCCCAGGAGCTTACAGCCCAGTGGAAGTGACAGGAGGGGAAGGAGATAAGTATACACTAAGGCTAGAAGAAGACTAGATGTTGATGTGAATGCGGCCTCCAAGGTTGTACAGTATGCAATCTGCGCAACTGTTTATGCACTCTATGCTAGGTCAGAGGTGCTGAGATTGCCCAGAGCAGAAGAGAGAGGGAGGAACTCTACCTGGGATGGAGTGAGAAAGGATATGGGGAGGCTGCACAGAGAAAGTAGAGCTTCGGCTGGACTGTGGTGGCTGAATAAGGGTTTGCCAGGCACAAGAGAGATGGAAGAGTGTTCCAGAAAGAGAACAGCATGAGTAAAGGCATAGAGGGGTGAAACCCGTGGTATGTTTACAGAACCTCAAGCAGTCTGGTGTTGTTAGGCATAGGGCTCAAATGGTGAGAGAGGGAGAGAGAGATAGAGAAATATGGCTGAAGCTAGATAGGCAGGCAGGGTTGGCCCTCTCTGGATCTTGTGGGGCATGCACCCAAATGACCTACCAGCTCTTGACCCTCTTTGGGGCCACAGACACTTGTGTGGACCTTCTCCCCAGAAAAATTCATGGCCTCATACCTGCATATTTTACAGCAATTTCATAAGGTTTGGGGACCTCCCTCCCTACCGGGGGTACACAAACCCCAGCTTCCGTAGGTGATGGGACCCCAGAGATTTCCACGTGCAATAATGGTGTGCCCAGATTTGTATTCTAGAGAGTGGCGTTGTCAGGAATCCCCCTTTCTGTCCTGGGCTCTGTTGTCCCTGGGCTGGCTTCAGCCTCAGGCTGCCCTCCCGGGCGAGATGGCCCCAGCAGGTCCAGACTCACTCCTCCTGGCTCACAGCCTCTGCAGAAAGAGAGCATTTTTTTCCTTTAGTTCCAGCAAAAGTCTCAGGGCTGACTCTCATTGGTCCTGGCTGGGGTCACATGCCCATCCTGGACCAATCGCTGGGGCTAGGGGAACAGAATATGCTGATTGGCCAGGCCTCAGTCATGTGATCTCCATGTCACCCCACTCAAAGGCCGGGACTGGAGTGGGGAGTGGTGCTGTCTTCCTAAGACTGGGAAAGGTGTCTAGGCAAAACCACAGAGGTGAGTGACCCACCTGCCTGGGGCTTGTACTCCTGTGGCTTCTCCAGTGATGGGGGCAGGATCTCCATGTGTGGAGTCAGGAGGGAGCGGGTGACCTACAGACAGTCACTGAAGCCGTGATGGTGGGTGACATCCCCCAGACTTGGGAGAGCAGGTGGGGCAGGGGGTGGGGGACTGAGCCTGTGGACAGAGAGAGGGCATGGAGGGTGTGGATGGCCAGCCCAGGGCAGGAGGGCCAAGGGGAAGAATGGGGAGACAGATGTGAAGGATGGAAGTGTGTAGGGTGGGGATGGAAGCTGAGCCCATTCTCCGTTTTCTCTCTGGGGTGGGAGCCCCAGGGTTTGCTCAGAGTTGGGTGTGGCCCTTGAGCCGGGAAACATCGCTGGGTGGCTGCTGTCTTCTTGGGTCCTTTGCTGAAGGTCTTCGTCCTCCAAGAGGGGAAGGAACTGGCTCAAGGTCCCCCAGGCCGGCAGGGCAGGATTTGAACCCGTATGTCTCTAAATCACAGGCTTTGTCTCCCTACTGCCTGGTTTGAGGATGCCACCCCTCCAGGTTGTGGCTAACCCTTTCTGCGTCCCTTCTGATGCCTGCCTGAGGCCTCCCAAGTCACCTGGCACCCTCTCTGGGGACTCTTGTTTCCATCTCCTTTTCCTATTTTCTCCTCTTTTCCCTTCTGGTGAAAAGCTCGTTCATTGCAGCTATTTCTCAGGAAGGAAAAAGTCCTGACATGGGGCCAGATCTGAGTCCCTCGCTGGCCATGGCTCTTCTGTAGGTGGCTCTGAGAGCTCTGCGTGGTTTCATCGTGCAGTGGGATGGGTCATCAGGGTGGTTCTGGGTGGTCCTGGTGTGTCCTGGCGTGCTCAGGGGACCGGTGACTGCCCCGCAGATGAAGGGCATCAGGACACATTCATTAGGCACCTACTGTGCCCATACTGGGTGGATGCTGGGCATAGTGAGATACGCCAGCCTTGGTCCCAGGCCTGTGGGTACTTGGGGGTTGTGGAAGCGGTTCTAGACTTGGTGTCAGGACACCTGGTTTAAATCCAGACTGTGCTGCTTCCTGGCTGTGTGACCTTGGGCAAGTAGCTTTGGTTCTCTGAACCTCCAGTTGCCTCTTCAATAAAATAAGGATGATATTACCAACCTCACAGAGTCGTCATGAGGACTGAAGGAGATCATGTTGGTGGATTACCCAGAAGAACACTTGGCTCCGTAAAGACCTGCTTATTCATCCACAGTCTAGCGGAAGTGTGGTGGGGCCCAGCGCCGTTTCCATGGCCTCTGGGTGGAGGGGCAGATGTCAAGGAGAAGGTCTATCTGGTGGCCACTGAGCAGGCTGGGAGCAGTAGGGAGCCCCTGCCTGCTTGCCCCCACCTTTCCCCCCTACCCCCGCTCTGTTTCTCTGACCCCGCTCTCCCTCTGTCCTCTCTGAGAGTCCTTCCGCCCTTCCCCGCTCCCAGGTATGCGGATCCTGGTGAACCTGCTCCTGGACACGCTGCCCATGCTGGGGAACGTCCTCCTCCTCTGCTTCTTTGTCTTCTTCATCTTTGGCATCATCGGCGTGCAGCTCTGGGCCGGCTTACTGCGCAACCGCTGCTTCCTGGAGGAGAACTTCACCATGTGAGTGCAGCCCTGCCAGCCGGGTGGCCGCCGCCTGCTTTCCCTGGGGCAGCAGTGCTGCTGAATACTTTAGGACTGGGTTCAGCACCTGGTCACAGTCCTTATTCCCAGGGGTACAGAGAGATCAAGGGATGGGTGTGCCCCGGGAAGCTGGCAGTGGGTTTACCGTGAGTGGCTGGACGCTAAAACGAGCGCAAGGGCCTCTGAGCTCTCAGTGTTGGTGTCACCAAGCCCCAGTCTGCACTAGGGCCTTAGATGCTAACTGAGCTCCTGGTGACTCTGCGTTAACACGCCAGTTTAGCTTACTTGGTAACTTCGAGTCGGGGGCAACAGAGTGGAAGCAGCGAGCGAGAAGGTCAGATGGGAGGGGAAAGGGCAGTGAAGACTCAAGCAGGAGTGATGCCAACAGGGAAAAAGAGGGCAGAAAACCTCAAAAGCAGACCCAGCCTGGCTCTCTAATTACAGCACACACGTTCCTCTTAGTGACTCTGAGTCATCAAGGACTCGCATTCGGCCCACTTGTGTCTGAAGGCAGGGGGTTGGGCTCCTTCCCAGAGAGATGGCTGTCAAAAGGTGTCTGAGCAGAAGTCAAGCTTTGGCTCTTGGAGGAGCTGGGTCGAGTCGTCTGAGAAATTTGACTTCTGTGGAATCTCAGCAGTGGGGGACAGGTGGCGTCCCTGAGTGTGCACACAGACACCTGTGTGTTTGGATGTGAGGGTACTTCCAGTTTAATCTGCATTAGTGCACTGCCACGCCGTGCCAGGTGTGGGGGACAGACACAGGAAAGCGTGCCACTCGTCCTCTCACTGGACAAACACCCCCATTGGCGGCTCTTGCCGAGCCGGTGCTCAGGGCTGAGGACGCAGCGGAAGATGGAATTCCTGCACCTGGGGAGCACCCAGGCCGGGAGCTGGTCATAGATGCCTCCACTGAGTGACTTTCATGGACCGAGGGCGACTGCAGGCCGTGTGAGGACACTGGCCAGGGGTGGGCTGACCTTCCTCCCTCACAGCCTCACTGTCAGTTGTGGAGATGAAGCTAACCCAGAGAGCCGGGTGAAGGTTGGGGAGGGAACTGGCTCACGTGCCCATCGCTGTGGGGGCACAGGGGGTACCTGGGAGACCAGAGAAGGGGCACCCTTGTGGGTAAGGACCCTGTCGGGGGAGGGGGCCCTGCTCTTGTGTCAATCATTCAGAAGAGTGGGGCCCTGAGGCAGGGCCTGGGACAGCAGGAGGCGGGGCACTGACTTCTCCTGGTCTGGCCTTCAAGATGGAGATGTGCAGGTCTGAGCTCTCAGCTTTGAGGGTTCAGGACACACCCAGGCCGCTCTGTCCCACACAGATCTTACCCTAGGCCATTCCGTGGCTGCCCCCTTCTCATCCCAGCTCAGCCCCAACGTCACCTCCTCCTGGAGGCCTGCCTTCACCACCCCTCTCTCCTAGACACTCTCTTGCATTATCCTGCCTCATTTTCTTCTCGGCGCTATCTCTGTCTGAAATCACCCCCCTTGTGAGTTTATTTACTCGGTTGTTGCGTGTCTCTAGGCCAGTTTATTTACGTGGTTGGCGATGATGGAGCACTCCTGCGTGACAGATGTGGAGGTGATGCTTAACTTTTGACCGCACGTGGAGACCAGGAAACTGAGGCTAAGAGAGGAGAATCTCGCTCCAGGGCAATTCTGGCAAAGTCAGAGCTAGAATTAAAACCTGCATTCCCTGGCTCCAGAGCCTGCTGCGGCTGCCCCCAGGGAGTGTGCTCAGAGCATCCCTTGGGGTGCATAAGCCCCTGGGGACACACAAAGTGATGGGTTTGAGGGTCCTTGATGAGCACAGAATCAGGACAGTTTTGCCTAGCTAGGAGGTGGCAGGCCCAGGCACCTGAGCCCAGGTCTGGTGTCCTCTGCAGAGTGTCTGGTCGCTTCCTCCAGGTTCTGTCTAAGCATAAATTACATGCACACGCACAACCGTTTACACCCCAGGCAGGTTTATTTTATTTATTTTATTTTTCTTTTTGCTGAGGAAGATTTGCGCTGAGCTAACATCTGCTGCCAGTCTTCTTCTTTGTGTATGTGAGCCCCCACCACAGCATGGCCACTGACAGACGAGTGGTGTAGGTCCATGCCTGGGAACTGAATCTGGGCCACGGAGGTGGAGCGTGTTGAACTTAACCACTAGGCCACGGGGGCTGACCTCGAGACAGGTTTTGAAAATGCAAATTACTTTGGCAATGTGTCTTGAGCGTGTTTTCACACCACTGTTTCTTATTCCGCAGGTGAACCATGGTTCATCTAGCCAGCCCCTGCCGATGGACCTTGCATGGTTTCCAAGGTTTTGCTCTTACATACAGGGCTGCAGGGCACATCGTGTATGTGTGTGATCTTTGTATACACGTGTGATCAATGGCTAGACTCACAATTACTAGTCAAAGTGTATGTACTTTTTTTTAAGATATAAATTACGTTCAGTAGCGGGCACAGCTGTTAAGTGCACAGCATAAGGAAGTTTTAACTGGGTGTCCACCGATGTAAGTCTACCCAGAGAAACTTACAGTGCCCAGGAGGGGTCCCTCCTGCCCCTTCCCCGATGCTATCCCCCTCATCCCAAAGTAGCCACTATTCTGACCTCTATCCCCATAGGTCTGTTTTGCCTATTTTTGAGGTTTCTTTGAATGGAATCCTATAGGGTGTTACCTTTTGTGTCTGCTTCTTGGGCCGTGTTCGCAGTTCCTTCTTTTTCCTCGCTGTGAGCATTCCATTGAGCAAATATGCACTTCTGATTTTTCCGTTCTCCTGTTGATTTGGCCTGTTTCTGGTTTTTTGGCTCTTATGACTCACGAGGATTCTTGTCCATCCCTTTGGGTGGATGTAACCATCCCTCCTTCTGGGTAAATACCCCGGAGTGGAACTGCTGGGTTGGGGGTGTGCCTATGTTAAACTTGAGTAGATTTTGCCAAGCTGTTTTCCAAAATGGGTGCATTCGAGGTGGACTAGCAAAGTCTGAGAGTTCCAGTGGCCCCACTTCCCTGGCGACCTTTGGTATTGCTAGTCCTTTCCATTGTAACTATTCTGGTCAGAGTGTAGTGGTATCTTACTGTGGCTTTGGTTTGTATTTCCCTGATGGCTACTGGTGATAAACACCTTTTCATGTGTTTATCAGCCATTTGTAGGTCCTCTTATAAAGGGTCTGTTATGGTCTTTTACTTTTAAATTGGGTTGTCTTTTTTTTCTTATCGGTTTATAGTAGTTCTTTGTATTCTGGGTTCGAGTCCTTTGGTGGATAGATATTTATGTTCCAGACATTTTATTCCAGTCTGAGTTTTCCATTTTTGCTCTCTTAATGGTGTCATTTGATGCGCAGAAGCTCTTAGTTGTAATGAAGTCCGGATTATCCATCATTTTTCCAGTATTGCTTTTTGTGTCCAGTTTAAGAACTCTTTTCCTAACCCAAGGTCATGACAATATTCTCCAGTGTTTTCTCTTAGAAGCTTTTTTGTTTCATCTTTCACGTGTGGGTCTACATTCCATCTCCAGTGATTTTGTGTATGGTATGTGGTTGGGGTCAAGGTTCACTTTTTATGTGGCTGTTCAGTTGTCACAGCACCATCGACTGAGAAGTCCCGCCTGTCCCCTGTGAATTTCAGCGGTGCCTTTGTACGTCAGGGGACCGGATGTTTTTGCCTTGGATGTATACTTGTTAATTGTTGACAGGTGTTGCCAAATTGCCCTCTGGAAAGGTTGTACCAATTACATTCCCACCAACAGCATATGAGCGTGTCTGTTTGCACACCCTTTTCCACACTCAGTATTATTAACCCTGAAGTGTTTGCCATGTGGATGGATGTAAAATGATCTCGTTCTTATTTTTGTTTGCATTTTCCTGTTACTAGTGAGGTGAGTGTCTCTTCTGATATATTGGCCATTTTAATTTCTTCTGTGAATTTTCTGTTCTTATCTTTTGTCCTTTTTTTCCTAGTTGGTTCTTTTCCTTACTGAGTTATAGAAGGTTTTATTATGATTTAGACAGTTATCTTTTATCTGCCTGATGTATTGCAAATACTTTATCCTGGGGATGGCAAACTCTGGTCTGTTTTTGTAAATAAAGATTCATGGGAACATCGTCCTGCCCACTTGTTGACCTGTTTCTTTTGACTATTTTCAGGTGACAATGGCGGAGTTGAGTAATTGGCAGAGACCATGTGGTCTGCAAAAAAAATATTTTTCTATCTGGCCCTTTACAGAAAAAGTTTGCCTACATTTTGCTTTACCCCAATTTGTTGCTTGTCTTTTTACTTTGTGTGCTATCTTTTGTCTCACAGAAATTTTACATTTGTACATAGTCAATCTTGTCGACCTTTTCCTTTAAGAATTTGGATTTTGTGTGTCTTATCCAGGAAGGCCTTACCTATCCTGAGTTAACAAAAATATTCCATATTTTCTTATAATATTTTTGTGGTTATATTTGTTGCATTTATGCTTTTTAATCCACCAGAAGTTTGTTATTTTTAATTTTATAATATATTTTGCTTGACCTAACGTAGCCAAAATATTACTTTCAATGTACAGTTGATATAAGCAATAATGAGAAATTTACATTTTTTTGGTAAAGACTTTTGATACCAAGTCTGCAAGTTTACTTTTGTATATGGTGTGAGGTAGGGATCTATCTTTATTATTTTCCAAATGGATAGCAGTTGTCCCAACACCACTTATTGTCTGGTCCTTCCATTCCCCATGGTTCTGAAAAGGCATCTCTATTATATGCTAATATAATTCTCTTTTATACCTGGGTTTGTGCTCCGTGATGTCCCACGGGTCTTTCTGTTCCTGTTACGATACCACACTGTGTTAATAATGGTAGCTGTAGAATATTTTGCTCTCTTCTAGGGCTGGGTTCCACTCATTGGTCTTCTTTTAAAAAATTGTCTCGACTATCCTCTCATCCAGATCATCCTAGAACCATCTGGCCAGGTTCCATTGTGGGCAGGGCAGGGATTGTCATCTCCCTGTTACAGATGAGGAAATCAAGGTCCAGAGAAGGGGAGTGACCAGCCCCAGATCACAGAGATGGGAAGGGGTGGGGCAGGCAGAGGATCTCACCCTTGTCTGTCGGGTCAGTAAATGCAGCATTTGTGTATCGAGCAGCTGCCCTGCACCAGCAAACAGCGTGCAGGGAGTAGAGATGTGGAGACCCAGTTCTTGCCCTGAAAGAGCTCCCACCTCCAGGGGCATTGGTTCCACATGTGCCGGGAGTGGTAATGGGGTGTGTGCAGCGCACAGTCTGGCCACAGGAGCCCAGGACTGGCCCTGCTTGATCCTGGAGAGGCTCCCTCAGGGAAGGCTCCCCAGAGGGGGGTACCCTGGAACTGACCACAGTGGGTCAGTGGGAGTTTTTATGACCATGGCGGAGGTCGGGAAAGGTGTCCCAGGCAGGGGAAACAGCATGTGCAAAGGTCCGGAGGCAGTGACAGGGCCTCTTGGGCCAACTCGTCATGCTGCATTGGCTTCTCCCCTCCCTGCTCCTCCTGGCGGTGACTGTCCCTTTCTCCTCCTTTGCCCACCATCACCTGTGGACAGACAAGGGGATGTGGCCCTGCCCCCCTACTACCAGCCAGAGGAGGATGACGAGATGCCCTTCATCTGCTCGCTGTCTGGGGACAATGGCATCATGGGCTGCCACGAGATTCCCCCGCTCAAGGAGCAGGGCCGCGAGTGCTGCCTGTCCAAGGACGATGTCTACGACTTTGGGGCGGGGCGGCAGGACCTCAATGCCAGCGGGCTCTGCGTCAACTGGAACCGCTACTACAACGTGTGCCGCACGGGCAGCGCCAACCCCCACAAGGGCGCCATCAACTTTGACAACATCGGCTATGCCTGGATCGTCATCTTCCAGGTGAGGCCCCGCAGGCTGGCCCCGGCCCCTGCAGGCGCAGGGAGGGTGGGCATGGGGTAAGGTGGAAGCGTGAGGGCGGAGCAAGCCGCTTCCCCTGGCAGGCGGCGCCCTGTGCTGGGTGTTTATCGCCTGTCCTCTCATTGGAATCTGCTCACATGCTGGCCCGTAGGCGTGACCATGCTTGTGTTACAGACGGAGCAACTGAGGGTCAAAAAAAGGAAGTGAGGACCATGTGACCATGAAATGGCAGATCAGGATTCTCACCCAGTCTGGGTGACCCCCAAACCTGTGCCCTCTGTGGAGTCCTTGGTTCCCTGGGGCAGATGGGTCCCCACAGGGAGGTCTGTTCCTAGAGAAGAGAGGTGGGACTCAAGCCCTGGGAGGGGGCTGAGCAGGCAAGGCAGGGCCCCAGAGCAGGGACGTGAGGGGAAGGGGACGGAAGCCACGGGGGTGTGCAGGGAGCACTGAGGAGCTGATGACTGGAGTGGAGGACAGGGTCTCTCAGATGCTTTTTTTTTGAGAGTAAAACTCAGTAAGAAATACCTTTTACCTGGGGGCCCAGCGCATAGGTGTCCACACATCCCTAGAGCCGCGAGGACCACCCTGGGCAGAGCACTGGATTGCATTGTGTGGCCCCACTGCACTGCGGGGCACGGTGTGGGGTATGTTTAGGGAACCTGGCCTGTGGGGCCTGAGTGTGTTGCTTGATGTCTCTGGCCTCAGTTTTCCCATCTCTGAAATGGGGTAATAGCAGCACCCCCTCCTCCTTGAATGGCTGAGAATAAACCAGATGGTGTGAGCAGAGTGGTCAGCCCAGCGTGCGGTGCGTGCTTGGTAAAGGTCGCTTTCATCAGTCTTCAGAGGGAAGAGCGGGGCAGGAGCAGAGGGTGGTGGGCGAGGGGAAGCCCCTGAGGAGGTGGGGGGCCTGGCCGAGGCGGCTGCTGTGAGGAACGCAGGGTCACGGAGTTAAGGGCTACAGGGCGTGCTGTGACCATGGCCCTGCGGCTGCGTTCTGGGACCCTCCAGCCCCGATAGGGTGGGTGGGCTGCTCAGGGCTCCTGCTCAGCAGTGCTGGGGTAACCCAGCATTGGTCTTGCCCAAAGCTGCTCCATCTGCCTCTCTGGAAAGGAGTGTGTAGGGGACAGAGTCGCACCAGCCTCATCACAGCCACATTCCCCAGCTCCGCTGAGCTGCACCCCACCCCTGCCAGGCGGCCATTGTTATTGCCATGTACTGAAGAAGCAGCTGAGGTTCCGAGAGTGGCCCAGCTGGTGGGCTGGAGCCAGAGTGCAGGGCCCACTGCTTCCAGCCGTACCTCCTTGCTGTGGTGGACTGGGAAGGGGGTGGGCTCTGGAGTGAAAAGGACCAGGCTTAAGTCTGGCTGCACTCCTTCCTGCTGTGTGACATTGTGCAAATGCCCTAACCTCTCTGAACCTCAGTTTCCTCACCTGGATAATGAGGATGAGAGTGGCTGCCCTGCCAAGCCCTTGTGAGAAGTATGAGAAAGCATGTGTGTAAAGCGTCCCAGCACACAGTAGGACCTCTGTCTGGGATGCTGTCTCTGCTGCCTGCCTTTCCTGAGGTCGGCCTGTCTCAGGCTGTCTCTCCTCTCTGCTCTGTCCTGGCTGCAGGTGATCACTCTGGAGGGCTGGGTGGAGATCATGTACTACGTGATGGATGCTCACTCCTTCTACAACTTCATCTATTTTATCCTGCTCATCATAGTAAGTGTCAGGGAAGCTGGGCTCTCCGCGCAAGCTCCAAGGACTTGTGGACCAGGGGACGGGGCGGGGGGGTCCTTTGGATGTCCCCAGGGAGCCCCTCAGAGCAGGACAGCTGGGTGGGAGAGTGCGAGGGGCAGTTTTAAATGCAGCCGAGCAGTGGGTGATTGAAGGGGCTCGTCTGGGGCGGCTTCTGGAAGCGTCCATCGCTTGCGATTGCCTTCATGTCTCATTTCCGGGCATTTAGTCCACTGTGTCACTCCCGCTTGCGTTTCTCTGCCTCGTAATCTCTGGGAATACATTCTTTTCATGACCTTAGCCGGGGCGCAGCCCCAGGATGGAAACTTCTCAAGAGCTCCAGCCTATCCCTGTTTGCCTGGGGCGGGAAGATGAGATGCTCTGAGACAGGGCTGCTTCCAGAGCAGTGTGTAGAGAGGAGACCAACCCTGGTGGTGACCTGGTGGAGTCCTTGAAATCCTCCGAGGGCCTCCCAGGGTGACCTGGAGATGGAGGCGGGGCTCTGTCTGCCCCCACAGAGCAGGCTCCCTTCCCGGCCGGCCCTCTTGCCTTCTCCCACACGATCTCCCCAGAGCGAGCTCGTGCACCTTGTCATGCCTGGCTGCAGCTTCAGCCCCAGCACAGTCCCCCAAATGTCAAGGTGATTCACTCCTGGAGAGTTGCTGGTGGCTCCCTGCTGCCACCAGGCTGGGTTCTCCGGCGGTGGGAGAGGACGTGCTTGGCCCTCTGGGGCAGCCCCCCTTCCTGGGCTGGTAGGACCCTGACCTGGGGGTTCAGGACAAGCTGGCAGGTGACCTGAGACATACCTGCTGCTGGCTTAGCTCCGACACTTTCTGGGGAGGCTGGGGCCTTGAACCCATAAGGAGACACCCCAGATCAAAGGAGAGGGACCCAGGTTGGTTCAGCATCGCCATTCGTCTACTGGTTATTTCATTCCCCGGCACATTCAGGGAGCCCTGCTCTGCACCAGGCCCTGAGCCGAGCGCCGGGAACTGAGCAGAGAGTCAGGCCTGGCCCTGCCCTCTGGGGGAAGATGGGCTCCAGACAGCAGCTTAGGAGCCAAGACAGAAGGAAGCTCAGGGGCTGAGGGAGCCCCAGGAGGCCTCTAGTCCAGCTGGGAGGATGGTGGGGAGTGGGAGGTTTCCTGGAGGAGGTGATACCAGAATTGAGCCTTCAAGGCTCAAGGGGGCAGGGGCAGCCAGAGGAAGAGCCCTCTGGGCAGGGGGCGGCTGGCACAGACCCTGCAGTGGACAGAATCCTCTAGCAGCGGGGAGCATGTCCACTGGGATTGCTGGAGAAGCCTCGAATTCCAGAGAGGGGCTGGAGAAAGCTCCCTCTGCTCCTTCTGATGGAGTCAGGGGTGGGAGTCTGGGGTTGGCTGTTTCCCACGTGACCCCAGGCAGGACCCATAGCTCTCCGAGCTCCTAGTGAAAGGGGGAACAGTGAGGGTCCAGAGTGGAGCCTGAGCAACTATGCTGTCATTTACCTTCTCCTCCCTGGCCACGCAGGGTCACCTGCCCGCCTCAGGTGAGTACCCTGAGCCCCAGAGAGGCGCGGGGCCCAGCCTGGGCTGCACAGCCGAGGCAGGGCCCTCAGACCCAGATCCTCAGGGCTCCCTCTGATTGGAAAAGTCCTAAGTGCGTTTTGCCCGAGCCTCCCATTTTACAGATGGGGAAATGGAGGTCCAGCGGGGATGGAGGCCTGTGTCACCCGGGGAGGCAGCTGCAGAGGCAGGCTGGGTAGGAGGCTGACAGGTGAGTCCCGGAGGAGAGGACCCGGGCCCGCTCCTTCTCGGTGCCCCTCACACGGGCCTGGTACGGAGCAGGTCTCCAAGAGACGCTGGTGGAAGAAATGACTGAGAGGGTGAATGAGCGGGGCGTCTTCTTACCTGGGAATTTTCCCAGAGTCCTCTGGGCCAGGAAGCTCCCAACCCCAGAACCCCAGCTCCCCGGCCTTGCTGTTGGGGAGAGGAGGGAAAGTGAATCAGTAACTGGGGCTGTGGCCTGCAGGAGCCTCCTGGAGGGCAGCCTGGAGGAGGAGGAAAAGCCTCTCCCTCTCACTGGCAGGCCGCTGAGCCTGTTCAGAGGCTTAGCAAACGCCAGGGGAGGGACCTGCCCTCAGGAAACAAGGCAGGAAGGGCTGTTCTGCCTGTGGAGGCCCTGAGATAGGCGAGGCCGGGTACTCCTCACGGCCTGGGTAGCCTGAGAGGGGCTGGGCCTCCTTCCCTGGCCTCGGCGATTGTGTCCCAGACAGGAGAACGGCTGCGGCCAGGGCCTAGGGGCCTGAGAGGAGTGGGCTCGGAAGCAGACCCCAGTGGGGCCTGGGGAGCTGCCGGGGCCCCTGCCTTCCTGGGGCCTGGCCTCCTCCCGGAGCAAGGCCTCAGCGATCTTTTCCTGTCCCCACCTGTGCCTGTGCCTCTCCGTCTCTCTGGGCCCTCCCCCTCCCCCTCCTCTCTCTCCCTGTCTCCATCTGCGTCTCCCACACCCTCTGCTTCTGTCCCCTCTGAGCCTGTCTCACTCTCTCTCGCTGTCTCTCCTTGTCCTCGTCTCTCTGTGCCCTGGCTGTCTGGCCGTCTGCCTCCCTGCTCTGTCCTTTCCCTGACTGTCTTGGATCTGCCCCGGCCCCTCCTCCTGTCTTCCCTTCTGCCTCTGTATCCCTCTGCTTCCCACCCTGCCTCTATCCCTCCATCTCCATCTCTCCCTCTCCCACTCCCCTACCCCCCTCTGTCCCCACCATCCCCGTCCCTGTCCTCTCCTCCCGTTGGTCACAGGTGGGCTCCTTCTTCATGATCAACCTGTGCCTCGTTGTCATAGCGACCCAGTTCTCGGAGACCAAGCAGCGGGAGCACCGGCTGATGCTGGAGCAGCGGCAGCGCTACCTGTCCTCCAGCACGGTGGCCAGCTACGCCGAGCCCGGCGACTGCTATGAGGAGATCTTCCAGTACGTCTGCCACATCCTGCGGAAGGCCAAGCGCCGCGCCCTGGGCCTCTACCAGGCCCTGCAGAGCCGGCGTCAGGCCCCGGGCCTGGGGGTACCCACCTCCGCCAAGCCGGGGCCCCACGCCAAGGAGCCCAGGCACCACAGTAAGTGGCCCTGCCTCCCGCAGCCTCCAGGGGCCCCCTCAGGCCTCGTGCGCCTCCAACTGGCACTCAGAACCAGCACCGTTTGCAGACACGTGTCCCCATGTCCCCTGCAAAAGCAGAGACGCCCAGCCCCCCGTCCAGTCCACACCCCTCGGTTCCTTCCACCTGTTCCCCGCCACCTGCCAGTGCCTGGCCTGGGCTGGCCCTGGGCGCAAGGGACTCAGCCCCCACCCCGGGGGACTTCCCTCCACCCTGGAAAGAAATGAGCAATTGCCTGCCCTCGGTCTTGTAGAGCTCCACAATTCCACCCCACCCCACGGCAGCCTGCATGGGCTCCTGCAGCCACGCCTGCTTGCTAGCACACCTGAGCAGGGACATCAAGAGGCCGGGGCCGGCCTGCAAAGGCGTGGCATGCTGGGGACACGTGCCACCCTGTGATCTTGCTCGACTGTCACCGGTCCTTTCTGAGAGTTAGCACTTTCGGCTTGGAAAGGGCTGTCCATTGGTTTTCTCGTCTTCTCTAGAAAACAGTCCTGAGGAGGGGGCAGACTGAGTAATATGATCCCCAGTTCTCAGATGAAAAATGAAGGCCCAGAGAGATGAAGGGAATCACTTAGGTCACGCAGTGTGTCACCAACAAAAGCAGCATCAGGGATGTCAGTTTCCAGCTGTGCTGAGCCCACCCCCAGGGGGATGAACCCGTAGAAGGAGGCAAACCAGCCACGGGAGGAGGGCCCCACCCCAGGCCAGTCCTGCCCACAGTGGGTGCCAAGAAGGAGGTCAGCAGGCATCGCGGGGCTGTACCCCGGAGCAGAGGCAAAGTGTGTGACCTTGGACAGCCCCGGCCCCTCTGCATGCCTCAATCTCCCTCTCTGTGAGGCGAGGAGGAGGCCCACGCACAGAGGGAGTCAGCCACCCTGGGCCCTGTTCTGCGGTCCTGGGAACCAGAGATTCTTGGGAGGCGCACTGGAGAATTCATGCTCAGAGCTGCCGCCCACCCGCCTCTGGGCGACAGCCGTCCAGGCCTGGTCTCGGAGGAGGCTCCAGGTGGCCGTGGGCTGGCCCAGCACGCGGACGGGGGAGCTGGGGCCTGGGCACGGCTGGCACCCGGAGTTCCTGGATGACGTGGGGAGGGGTGTTTACTGCGGGAGGGGGTGCTTCCTGCTGCCGCCCACCACGCTCTCCAGGGAACCTGTGTGGAGAGAAGTCCCAGGGGGAGTCTAGAGGGGCCTGGGCCGGACCTCGTGCCTCCCCCTCCCTGGGAAATAAGTGTCAGGGGCCCAGCCTCCGGTACAGGTGGGGTGGGGGGGGCTTTGCCCTGTCCTCTGGCCCTGAGGTGGGACTGACCCCTGGGCTTCAGGCTGCCCCGCTCTGGCTCCCGGGGGTGAAGGAGTCAAGGGCCGTGTCCAGGGCGCTGGGAGGTAGGTGGAGGCGAGTGTGGAACCGAAGGGCAGCCATTACATGTTTCCATTCCCTTGAATGTTATTTTTTTTTGCTTACGCAAGCAAAACCTGCTCGTTCTAGGAAAATAAACAAATACAAAGAAGAAGCTTAACCACCTGTAGAGTGCTCTGTGTCACCTCTTTGAAAGGGTTCGCGGATCACAGAGCTCAGGTCCCAGACTGGCCCTGGCCTCTCACACTCCCCTGGGCAGCGGAGGGGCCACAGCTGCTGCCCCACCCCCTGTTGGCCCTTCCTGCCTGCACCCTGGGGCCAGCTCTGAAGCTCAGCTCCTGCAGGGCAATTCCAGGGCGACGCCTCCTGCCTCCTTCCCTTCCTGGGATGCCATGCCCTCCACACGCAGGTGGGAGAGCTGAGGAAGGCCGAGGCCACCCTAGCTTCCCCTGAGGGGTGTCTGCCCTCCACACGGGCTGTCAGAAGCTCCCCCCAGCCATTGCCCAGACTGCCTGATGTCACAGAGCAGGACGGTGGGAGGTGCTGGGGTTCCAGGGGGTCTGCTCGGTGACTAACCCTGGGCCGCGGGCCGGGAAGTGATGGGGCAAGGGTAGCCAGCGTGTCTGTGTGCCCAGGCCCCGCTGCAGGCCCAGCACGCGGGTGGCCCAGTAGAATCCTCCCCAGGCCTTGAGGCGGGTGCCCCTGGTCCCTGCTTCGATGTGGAGGTAAACAAACCCAGAAGGGGAAGTGTTTCCCCAGGAACCACTGGCCTCTTGGCCCCCCCGGGTGGGGCTGGCGCGGTCCAGGCAGACCTGTGGGCCTGAAGGGCATGTGGGGTTGTGTCCCAGTGTTAACCCGGGGCCTGGTGTGGGCACTGCCCCCAGGGCTCTCCAGGGTGACCCGAGGCACTGATCCTGCCCTCTGCTTGCTTTTCAGAGCTGTGCCCAGGCCACAGCCCCCAGGACCCTCATGCGCTGGTGCAGCCCATCTCCGCCATGCTGGCCTCTGACCCTTCCAGCTGCCCCCGCTGCCAGTGTGAGGCGGGCCGGCGTCCCTCGGGCCAGGAGGGCTCGGGCTCCGGGGACTCGGAGGGTGGCGAGGCCGAGGCAGATGGGGACGGGGCCCGGAGCAGCGAGGACTGCACCTCCTCGGGGCTGGGGAAGGAGGACGAGGAGGAGCCTGCGGATGGCGCCGCCCGGCTGTGCGGGGATGTGTGGCGGGAGATGCGAGCCAAGCTGCGAGGCATCGTGGACAGCAAGTACTTCAGCCGGGGCATCATGATGGCCATCCTGGTCAACACCGTCAGCATGGGCATCGAGCACCATGAGCAGGCCAGTGGGGCTGAGCACGGGGGCGGGGGGGGGGCTCCGGGCGGGGTGCAGAGGGAGGGCTGGGCGCCCCGGCCCAAGCCAGCACAGTCAGCCCCATGTGCTGAATACCCACTGAGGCTCTGTGTCCCGCGTGGCTGGGGCTGGGGCCGACGCTCCCCTGTGGCCTTGGTAGGCACCCCAGGGTCCGGCCCAGAGGAGGGAGGAGCTCTGGGTGTCTGCTGAGTGGGTGCAGGAGTGAACGAGTGAGGCCGCGCTGGGACTGGCCTCACTGGGGTGGGACCCAGGCCAGTTTCTTTCCTCCTAGGCCGTTCAGCCTGCACCCCAAGGCTCCACAGCCCACCCCCGGCCAGTCCCTTCCAAGCTAACTTGCATTTGTCACCTCTCCATGTGAGCCCTCCTGTGCATTCTCCCCAAAACAGCTAGAGTGATGTTTCCAGAGGCCAGGCTCTCCCCTGCCCCCAAACCTCCACAGCTCCCCATTGCCCCAGCACAAAACACAGACCTTTTCACTAACATTCAAGGCTCATGCTGAACATACCTTCAGCAGGCGGGGTGTCCTCCTGTCCCTGAGGCCCCCACTTACTCCACCCTCCCCACAGCCCCATGGCACTGAGGGTGGCCCTGCAGTTGTCCAGCAACGGCCGTCCCCATCTCCCTCCTCGGCCAGCCCTGTGGTTTCTTCCATCCTCAGCTCCGGGTGCCTGGGGTGCAGGGGGTGTGGGCTGAGTTGAATGGTGTGTCCCAGGCCCCTTGGGCCAAGGGGGGTCCTACTGGGCGTTCAGGGGTGAGAGGAGTTCTGAGAAAGGGTCCCTAAGTGGGGATAGCACATGGGGAAGGGGATGGCTTCCGGGAGGTAGTGGGATCTCTGGGAGGATGTGTACGTGAGGAGAGGGGGCTATTTGTGGGGACACAGGATAGAGGGCTGTGGGGGTCAGCATAGATGTCCCCAGTCCACAGGTCACACCAGGGTGACAGCCTGGATGAAAAGTCCAGTCCTGGTTCCATTTGGAGAAACACCATTTTCTGGCTTCTGCTGCCCCCCACAGTAGTAGTTTCCCTCCCTGGGTAGTTTCCCTCCCTTAACCTGCACCCCAGTCCTGTGAGGACACCCCACTTAGCAGCTGACGGCCCTGAGGCCCAGGGAGGGGATGCCACTGGCCCAGGTCCCACAGCCAGTCAGGGGCCAGATTTGAACCCACATCTTTCTGTGGCCAGGCTGACACCCCGCAGGGTTGGGATTTCCCAGGCCCCTCTGCTTCCCTGCTGCCCTCTTTCTGCGGGGCCTCCACCCTTGCCGCACCACGCTCTCATTTCCCTCTTCATTAGTTCGCCAAGCGCAGGCTCCATTCAATTTGCTTAAACACAGCCCCTGGGGCTGCCGACACTGGTAGGAGCTGCCGGTGTGCCAGCCATTCCGGCTTAATTAAAAAGATCTCTGGGGAGGGCTGGGGGAGGCTCTGTGTAGAGCAAAGCTGCGGAGACAGGCTGCCCAGAACCCCCTCGCCTGGGGTCCAGCCTTCTGGCCCAGCGCTCCTGGGGGAGGCCCCGCAGGGAGCAGATGCCGTTGGGCTGCTGGCTCTGGTTCCTGAGTGGGGCAGCTCCAAGGGACCTGTCATGTTGTGGTCCTGCTGCACAGAGCCGGAGCGTGGTCCCTGCAGGGGACCAGCCTCCGAGAGCCAATTGCCTAACCCTCAGGGATTTGCACGCCCGCTGCTGAAAACGGTTGCTAGCTTGGAAGTGGCCATGGTGGGAGTATTGACACTGTGGAAATTGGCATACGCTACAAAGCAGGGCTGTTTTCAGGGGCCTGTCTGCCAGCGTCCAACTGGTCCCTGCCTTCTGAGCCGGCCCCTCCAAGGCAACATGCAGGCCAGGGCAGCTGTGTCCTCTGGGTCCAGCCTCTCCTTCTACCCCTGCCCCAGCCTCAGGCCAGGCCATGGCTCTCCCCAAGCCTCCTCAGGGTCTCCCTGCCTGGCCTGTCGCCCTCTCTCCTGCTGCTGCATCCTGTCCGAGCAGCCTTCCAGCCTCGAATATGGTGGAGGCTCTTCTGTCTGGCACGGCAGGCACCCCCTGGTGCCCCCATCAGCTGGGAGAGGCTGTTTACTGAGCACCTACTAAGTGCCAGGCCCAGAGGCTGTGTGGTGTGTTGAGTCCTCACAACCACCCTCAAAGCAGCTATTGTCACCTGCCCCCTCCCCGCACGTTGAAGGCCCCTGCCCAGAGAGGTGAGGTCCGTCACTCAAGGTCTGGGTTCCGTCCCCGGTTGTGCTGTTGACCGGCGAGGTGGACTTGGGCAAGTCACTTGGCCTCCTTTAGCCAGTGTCCCCATCCGTAAATGGGCGCACGGTCCCCTCCTCACAGAGCGGCTGGGAGGGTTCCATGCATTAGGAAGCCTGGCACACAGTAGGTGTGCTCAAAGTTAGGAATTATTTCTGAATCTTGTGCTGGAGCTTTACGCCCCCACCCTTGGAGTGAGTTTACCATCCACTCTCTGGAGCCTCAAAAAATTAATTAATTAAAGAAAAAGTGAGGGGGAGGGAGAATTTTTAAAATGTTCTTTTTAAAGCCGCTCGGAGCGGCAGCCATTGTGTGACGCAGCAAGCCCCACGTGGGGCCTGCTTGGGAGTTGCCACTGTTTTTGCTCCACTCCCCTCGGCTGGCAGACTGTGCTCGGCGGGAAGCGGCCTGCCCCCCATGTTTATTCTGAGCAGCCCCACCTGAGGGGGCGCCTGCAGAGAGAGGTGGCCCCTCTCCCTCACGGGTGGTGGCCGCAGACGGGAGGCATCCTGGGGCCCCCTGCCACGCCCCGGCTGCCCACCCTACTGGCAGGGAGCTTGGTGTGGCCACAGGGGGGTGGCAGGTGGTGACAGTGGGACTAGCCTGGGTATTGCTTTCCTTCTCCATCGGTAAAGTGAGGCTGGCCACCCCTGCCTCTCTGGTCACGGGGGCTTGAATGAATGAGAGGTGGGATTTTGGGTGCCTGTTGCCTTTGGATGGTCACTGCTGCCACAATCACAAGGGAGTGTCCCCAGGTTCCTCGTGGCCACAGATGCTATTCCTTGCAGGGACTGGCCTGGGAGGAGGTGACAGGTGACCAGAGGAGTCGGCCAGGCAGGGGCCTGTGTGACCCATGAGGCGGTCAGATACTGCAGTGTGGCCCCTGGACAGCCCTGGGAGGAGGGCGGGCCCAGAATGGCCGTGACTGAGGCTGTGTGACAGGCGGGGGCCAGGGTCAGCGTGGGCGGCCAGGTTCCCCCATCACCACCTGCTGTCACGTGTCATCACGTCCCTTCCCCATGTGATCCTCACCGCAGCCCTCTGGGGCAGGCAGGGGGAGTGTCTTAGCACCACTGGGCAGATGGGGAAACCGAGGCTTGAGTGGTGGAATGGCTTGTCCATGGTGACCGGTGTCAGAACTGGGCTCTGAGATGCTGAGGTGGAATTGGAGTTTCCACAAAGCCGACAGGAGGCAGGTAGGGAGTCGCTGCTCCTGGGAGCAGCCTCCGCCTCAGCTCTCCCCTCCCAGCCTCCACCCGTCCGGGTGCATGACTCCTCCGGGCTGGGCAAGGATGCTCACCAAGCTGGACAACTGAAAGGAGGGCCAGGCTGCACTGGCAGCAGGGCAGCGGTGCAGGCAGCCCCCCTGGTGCAGGGCTAACCCAGGCTGCAGCATGGCCACTGGCTCCAGCTCCCAGGGGACTGCATTCAAGGCCTCCAGATCAATGTATGGGTCAATATAGGCTGTATTCTCTCTTCAGCAGCCCCGTAAAGTCACTGCCTACCCAGGTCTGGAGTGACTCTGGGAAGAAGGAGATGGGGTGGCTTAGTGCCTGACATTCCAGCTCTGGGAGGGCTTAGGGGAGAGAGACACCAGCATGGGCTGCAGTCAGGGAAGGCTTCCTGGAGACAGTGGCACTGGAGATGGATCCTGAAGGATGACTAGGATTTCATCAGCAAGACAGAGGAGGGACAGATGCAGGTACCAGGAGCATAAGCATCCCCACAAAGGACCCTGAGCCCTCAAGGAGGATGTGCATGTGGGGCAAGGCAGACAGCCCAGGAGGCTCGGTGGGGGGCTGTCCATCCACGATGGGTCTTGAAGCTGGCTTTATTCTTACGGCAGTGGGGAGCCATGGAAGGCTCGTAAGCAGGGCAGTGACTTGTCTGTGCTGACCTGGAGCCTCAGTCAGAAAAGTGGGGCAGGTGAAGGCACCTGGGCCCTGGTGAGGGCGGCAGGCCAGGGAGAGAAGACCTGGGCTTGAGGTCTCTTCCACCACCATCTGGTGGTGGCCCTGGGCTGTTACTTCTCCTCTCTTAGCCTCAGGTTCCCATCTGTAAAATGGGGACACTGTAGGGTGACGTTTGCGGCTTAGATGAGATAATTCATGGAAAGTGCTTAGCACTGCCTGGCCCATGGGAGACGCTCCACACCAGCTGCCATTGTCATGGGGATGGTGCTGGGCTAGATGGGCTCCTTGGGGCAGCATAGAGCCCCCTGCCCAGCCAGGCGCTTACCTACCCCTGCGGAAATGGCTGGAGGCTGGGCAGCCGGGGCCTCCCAAGCCTGGCCTCGGGCAGGGAGGGGCTGGCCCTGCCCCTGCCCGGCTCCCTCCACCTCTGGCCTTCCCTGCAGGGTGCAGCCCCTCTCACCTGTCCTCTGACTTAACCTGGTTTTCTGCCCTTCAGCGCCTCCTCTTCCTCTGAGGGGGTCATTGCTGCCTCCCTGCAGTCTCTCCTGTCTGTCTGTCTGCCTGCTCTTTCTCTCACTTCCCGGCTCTGTCTTTGACTCCCACGGTGTCATGATCCTGGTCCTTCATTCTGTTTTTGTCTGTGTTTTTCTCTCTGTGTCTCATATCTCCACACCTGTCTTTGCCTCTCACTCCCCGCGTCTATATTTGTCTGTCTGTCTGTCTGTCTGTCTCTCTTCACATACCTCCCTCCTTAGTCTCTCACTCATGGTGTCTGTCTGTCTCTCTCCCGCTCACTGTCTGTCTCCCAAAAAACTGCTCGCAGGAGTGATGGATGGTCCATTAGGAAAAGATTAACAGGTGTGTGCTTGACTAGAGAAACAGCTGTTGTGGAGGAGGAGGGAAGCGAGCGGGTGACCTTTCAGGGAGAGCAGAGTGGCGGGCTCTGCACATCACTCGCGGGCGGGAGTGTGTTGTGTGGCGTGTGTGGCCCAGAGCAGGGCGATCGCCATTATGGACTGTCAACGTCCACATTTTTCATCTCGGTTTTGGCGAGCTGGGAAATTGGTGGCTCTGAGCTGCATCTGGGGCCTGGCTCAGCCGGGGATGCTGGGCCCCAGCCCCTCCCCACTGAGGGGCCCCTCTCAGGGTCCCACTCTTTTGTCAGGACCATTTTGTGAGTCAAATATAATTACACATGGAAATGGGGCCTTCTCCTTTTATCTGGGCTTGAGAGGAGCTGGCAGTTTTATTAGATTTCTCAGGCACCGGGCAGGAAGTGGGTGGTTCGGTTTTTTTCTTTTCCTCGTCTCCTTTTGACCCCAAATCACAGCAGGCCCCTGAAGTGCCCTGTCACGCAGGGTGGGCTGTGCTGGTGGCTCGGAGCTCCCCCACGTCCCCGTGCTTGCTCTGACTGGTCCCTCTGCTTGGACACTTTCCCTTCTTCTCTGTTGCCTGCCTCTCTCTCTCAGCTTTGAGGTCTCTGCTGAGATGTCACTGCTCCTGACTCCACTCATTGTTCCCCCCAGCCACCCTCAGCTTCCCTCTGTTTTGACACCTACCGACTGGCTTGTTGACTTGTGCGTCGGGCTTCACCACCAGAGCCCGCACTTCTCAAGGGCAGGGAGGACGTCCTGGCTCATTCGCCACTGGCCACCCTGGGTGGCACAAGTCCAGCACGCACTGGATGCTCAGAAGACCTGTGGAATACATGCAGGAATGAAGGGGTGAATGAATGAATGGATGTGTTCAGGTGGGGTTTCAGTCTGTGTGACCGGAGGGCAGTTGGAGGCTGACTTGGTTGGGTGCCTGGCTCTGCCACATCCTTGCTGGTGGCTCTGAGTGAGTCAGTTCACTTCCCCGAGCCGCGGTTTCCTCATCTGTAAAACGGAGATGCCCACGGTGACCACACAGGCTGTCTGAGGCATCAGTAACTCTGTTGGGGGTCAGCTCAGCTTGGGGCTTATGGTCGGGGCTGGATGAATGGCCCTTCCCAACGTGGCTCCGGGGTGAGCAGACACCAGCCACTTCCCCAGTCCCAAAGGGGCAGTGGGGGGAGAGGGCCCTTAGCAGAGAGATTTGGGATGAGTATCGTCTCACTCCCCGCCCCTTGCTTTATGGATGAGGAAACTGAGGCCGGGGCGGGGGTGGACCTGGAACCCTGCCCGTCATGGCCCTTGGTATGGCCTGTTTTATATACTGTGGTTGCTCAGATGGTCCCGTTTTTGGGGATGTCACCTGCTGCTAAAAACCAGGAGCTGAACAGCTCTGGGAGCAGAGGGTGGCTCTGTGGCCAGTGGGGGCTCGTCTCCTTCTGACCAACTGGTGACTTTAACCCTTCACCTCCCTGGGCCTCAGTGTCCTCCTCTGAGAAGTGGGTGAAGTAGGCCCCGCCAACAGGGCGGTCAGGTGGATTAAGAGCCATCGTGGCACACAGTTGGTCTCCGTCCTCTTTTCACAGTGCACGGGCGTCTCCAGCCACCGGCCGTTGCTGGGGAAGGGCTGGGTAGGGCAGTCTGCACAAGCAGGGGTTAAGGGCAGGAGCCTCGGAGCCAGGCTGCCTGGGTTCGAGTCCTGGCTCTGCCCTGTGGTAGCTCCGCAGACTGAGGCAGCGTCTGCCTTCTCTGAGCCGCTTCCTCCCTTGCAAAGTGGGCTCTCGTGAGGGGCTGAGTGACATGACGCCTGTGAAGTGCACGGAGCAGGTCCTGCACACACTCACTAAACGGGCTGGGGCGGGGGGCCGGGGAGTCTCCACCATCACTGGCCTGCCGCCCTCTTGCTCTGTGTCTAGCCGTGTGACCTCAGGCTGGTTTCTGTGCCTCAGTTTCCTCACCTGTGAAGTGGGTATCATGATACCTCCTTTAGCGCGTGGCACCAGCATCATTTCCAAATCTGCAGAAGGTCAGTGGACCTCTCAGGACAGCAGGGTCGCAAAGCTCTCAAGGCCATTGTGTAGGGGGCAAGGTGGAGCTCCAGCAAGGACACTGGCCTCCCAGGACAGGCAGCCAGGTGGCAGGGCCTGGCCTCCCGCCTCTCTGGGGGTCCTAAAGCCAGTGGGCATCCAGAAGGGATCCATGGCTGCCCTGGGGCCTGACCGGGTCCCTATCTCCTGCCCCACCGGCCCCGCAGCCCGAGGAGCTGACCAACATCCTGGAGATCTGCAACGTGGTCTTCACCAGCATGTTTGCCCTGGAGATGCTCCTGAAGCTGGCCGCCTTCGGGCTCTTCGACTACCTGCGCAACCCCTACAACATCTTTGACAGCATCATTGTCATCATCAGGTGCCGTGCCCGCCCCCCGCAGGCTGTGGGCCCAGAAGCAGAGCGGGGGAGGTGGGAGACCTAATGCACTGACTCCAGCCAGTAAACAAACCACGTAAGACCAAAGGAAACCAATTACACTGAAAAATACTTATCAACACAGTTAAGACTTTGTGATTTAGCGGTATACGTGCCTCTGGATTAACGCATGAAATAGCAAGATCTAGCAGCAGGTCTGTGACTAGCACCATTCCAAAGAAGGGATGAGCAGAAATAATATTTGGAAATACCTGCAGCAACCGGCACGTGATATAAAAATATCAGTGATTTTGATTGGCACCAAAGTCATAGGAACTACTAATTCTGTGTGGTTTGTTGTTTACGTTCATAATCAAAAGAATGTTAAATCTCAAAAAAGAGGTTGTGACCTTCATGGACCTCCTGAATTCTAGACATAAACTTCTTGGGGGGGTGTCCGTGGACTCTGCTCAGGAGCCCCTGATTTATTATTTATTATTATTTATTTTTTATTATTATTATTTGTGCCATGGAACGCCAACGACTGTGAAATAATCTTGGTTGAATGAATGAATGAATGAATGAATGGAAACTCCGTCTCTCCATCCTCCTGGCCTCTCCTTCTTCCTCTGCCCTCCTCTCCTCCCGTCCTCCTGGGATCCCTCCTGCCTCTCTCCCCTCCCACCCCCGACTGCCCCTCGGGCTGCAGCATCTGGGAGATCGTGGGGCAGGCGGACGGCGGCCTGTCGGTGCTGAGGACCTTCCGGCTGCTGCGGGTGCTGAAGCTGGTGCGCTTCATGCCCGCGCTGCGCCGCCAGCTCGTGGTGCTCATGAAGACCATGGACAACGTGGCCACGTTCTGCATGCTGCTCATGCTCTTCATCTTCATCTTCAGGTGAGCCCTGCCCACACTGGGGATCACCCCTGTGGAGCCTGCGAGGGCCGTGGGCAGGAGCCCCGGGGGAGAGTGGCTGGTTGAACTTCTCTGGGCAACACCCTGGACCTGGGTGTGACTCCTGGCACCATCCTTTAATCCCCTATGGCTCTGGGCGGCAACCTCCTCTCTGAGCCTCAGTGTTCACGTCTATAAAATGGGACCAGGGCTGCCCCCTCCCATCTTACTCTGAGAATGAAACAAGGTGGGTGGGCAGAGAGCTTGATGTGTGTGTGTCCCTTGAGCCACCTCCATCCCTCCCCCAGCATCCTCGGGATGCACATCTTTGGCTGCAAATTCAGTCTGCGCACAGACACGGGCGACACGGTCCCCGACAGGAAGAACTTCGACTCCCTGCTGTGGGCCATCGTCACTGTGTTCCAGGTGAGCAGCAGCCTGTGTCCGTGTGCTTCAGGGGAGGGGCTTCTCCCAGGCCCGCCACCCAGGATCACTCTTCAGAGGTGTCACCAGCCTTGGAGGATCTGGAGAAGAGGGGCAACCTGGCAGGGAGGCCCCTCAGCTCCAGCCTCCAGGGGGCAGGCCCTGGGTGCGAGGCCAGGCTGGTGCAGCACTGACTCGGGGGCTGGACTGACTGTGGGGCACCCATCCCTGCCCCTCCACTCCTGCCCCTCTGCTTGGGCACGTTAGGATTCTTCTCTGAAACTAATTCCTTCCGTGTAATGTGGGCTGGTTCAATGAGTATCCATATACAGGTGCAGTGGGTGCAGAAGGAGCAATGCGAGGAGGAAGGGTGGGCCCGTGTCCGGCAGCTGGGGCATGAGCAGTAGAGTGTGCTGAGAGGCTGGGTTGTGGGAGCAGCCGGGAGGGAGCACCGGTCAGTGGGGCATGAGTGTCAGGGCAGGAGTGTGTAATGCAAACCCAAGAGTGTGGGCAAACTGGGGGCAGCGGGCAGGGCAGCGCGTGTGTGAGGAGGGCGGGCACGCCCCAGCTAGGGCCATGACGTATGAGGACTGTGAGCCCGGGTGAGAGGATGCTGCAGTTGTGCATGGGCTGCAGCGTTCCTGTAGCTGTGCCAGCCGCTGGGCTGCTCGGCCCTTGGGCTGGGCTGGGGCCTGGGGGCACTCTGGGGCTCAGCCGTGTCCCCTCCCCCACAGATCCTCACCCAGGAGGACTGGAACGTCGTCCTCTACAACGGCATGGCCTCCACCTCCCCCTGGGCCTCCCTCTACTTTGTTGCCCTCATGACCTTCGGCAATTACGTGCTCTTCAACCTGCTGGTGGCCATCCTGGTGGAGGGCTTCCAGGCAGAGGTGACTGTGGCCCTGGTGGAGGAAGCACCCCCACGGGGCCTGCACAAGACTGGATGGGGGGCAGGGGTCCTGGGTGGGGGAGGACTGCAATTCAAACATCTAGCAGGCAACAGGTCCCCAAAGGAGGGGGTGCCAATGAGGAGATGAGCTTCCCATCATGGGGAGCATGCAAGTGGAGGCTGCATCTGGGATCCCTGCCTCTCCCCTAGTGGTATAGGATGAGGCCTCTCCATCTCTGAGACTCTGAAGCCCCCAGGATCTGGGATTCTGGATCCTGCCGCCTGCATTCTCTGAGGCAGTGGGGACACGTAGTCTGGCAGATGTGGGTTTGTGGTCTAGATCCTCGTTAACTTCTTACCCCCCTTTTCTGAGCCTCAGTTCCCCATCCGTAAAATGGAGGTGAAACACCCTTGAAAAATTCGGGAGGGAGGGAAGGGCTGAGCTGACTTGCATTCCAACGTGAGGGACGGTCTCCCAGGGCGACGCCAATCGCTCCTACTCAGACGAGGACCGGAGCTCATCCAACATGGAGGAGTTTGACAAGCTCCAGGAGGGCCTGGACAGCGGTGGAGGTAAACAGACCTCTACTTGTCAGCTAGGGGGCCAGGACCCTGCCCCAGAGATCCAGGTGGGCAGAGGGCACAGGGTCCGGCTTCCCCTCCAGCTCAGGATCTGGGGCTGCTAATTCTCTGGTTGTTGTTTACATTCACAACTGAAAGAAATGCTAAATCCAAAAAGAGGTCAGTGACGTTTGGGCCCTCCTGAATTCTAGCCACTGGAGTGGCTGCAGCCCACTCACACCCTCCACATGGTGTGGCCTGTTGGGAAGAGCCTCGGGCCTCGGGACACCTGGCTTCTGGTCCTGTCTGTCACCACTGGGCAGCATAGAACCTCCCCCACCCAGGCTGTGTCCTTCTCAGTAACCGGGCTGGACAGTCTCTGCCTTGCTTCCTGCAGTGGGCGCGGGAGTGAGGTTCCCGTGCTGGGCGAAGCTCAGGGCTGTCCCTGAGCACAGAAGGCAGGGGAGCCACTAGTCCAAAAATTAAGCTGAGAGCCCTGCAGGCGGGGCAGAGGGGAGGCATATGTACTGGAGTCCAACCAGGAAGACTTCCTGGTAGAGGAGGTCTCCCCAGAAAAACTCTCCATTTTTGTTACCCTCCATGTCTCTTTCTTTGTCTCACGGCTTCTTCTGCTCTTATTCTGTCTGTCTGCCCCTCCCTCTGTCTCCATCTTGCCCCTCCAGATCCCAAGCTCTGTCCAATCCCCATGACCCCCAATGGGCACCTGGACGCCAACCTCCCTCTGGGTGGACACCTGGGCCCCGCTGGGACTGTGGCACCTGCCCCCCGCCTCTCACTGCAGCCGGACCCCATGCTGGTGGCCCTGGGCTCCCGCAAGAGCAGTGTCATGTCACTGGGGAGGGTGAGCTACGACCAGCGCTCCCTGGTGAGTCCTTGTGGGGTGCTCTGCATGGCTACCCCCTGCTGGGGGGTGTTGAGGGACCTTGGGCGCTAGTGCCTGCCTGTCCAGCCTCGGACTGGTACCTAAGCTAAGGACACCAGACCGTCCAGCCAGAAGCAGCCAGGGACCATGTCTGTCGCATTCCTGGGTGCCCAGGGCAGGGCTGGCAACAAGGAATGAATGAATGAATGAATGAATGATGCCAGTAGATCTGGTGTAGAGAACTGGATCTTCATCTTAGCTGTAAGTGTAGGGTAAGGAGCTGGGCTTTGGCATCAGGCAGACCTGAGCTCAAATCCAGCCTCTGCCACTTCCGAGCTGTGTGACAACGAGCAAGTTACAGCCTTTCTCTGAGCCTCAGTTTCCTTACCTGTAAAATGGGAAGCTGCCCCAGCTTGCTGTACCTTTCTCAGGGGAAGTGAGGTGGCAGGAAGGGATGTACCCACACTGTGGACATGCCCACACGTCCACACATGTAGATGGAGTGAGAGGCAGGGCAGAGAGAGGACCCCTGGGCCTGGTCAGTTCTGTCGCCCACGGGCCAGGCGGTGGCCCTCTCAGGGCCTCAGCGGCCGTGCAGGCTGCCTTCAGGCACAGCTGTGGGCTGTGGCGGCGCTGACCGGAGCCCCCCGCTTCCTCCCAGTCCAGCTCCCGGAGCTCCTACTACGGGCCGTGGGGCCGCAGCGGGGCCTGGGCCAGCCGCCGCTCCAGCTGGAACAGCCTCAAGCACAGGCCGCCGTCGGCCGAGCACGAGTCCCTGCTCTCGGGGGAGCGCGGCGGCGGGGCCCGGGCCTGCGAGGGCGCCCGGGAGGAGGGGCCGCCGCGGGCTGCGCCCCTGCACGCCCACCACGCGCTTCACAGCGCCCATCCGGCGCACCGTCACCGCCACCACCGCCGGACGCTGTCCCTCGACACCAGAGACTCGGTGGACCTGGCCGAGCAGGTGCCGTCTGTGGGCGCCCACCCCCGGACCGCCTGGAGGGCGGCGGGCGCGGTCACCGGGCACGAGGACTGCAATGGCAGGATGCCCCACATCGCCAAGGACGTCTTCACGAAGATGGACGACCGCCGGGAGCGCGGCGAGGACGAGGAGGAGATCGACTACGTGAGCGCGGCGGGATCCCAGGGGCGGTCCTGGGACAGGGGGAGGATCCGCGAGGTCCGGAGAGGGGGCTGAGGGCGGGGCTCGAGGGGGCGGGCTCGGCAGGGGCGGGGCCAAGCAGGTAGGGCTCCAGGTGGGTAAGCCCGGGGCGGGCCGGCACTGCCTACGCCTGAGCTGGGCCCGCCACTGGGAGAGCAGCCCTCCCTGCCTGCCCCGCGTGGAGCGAGGGTTCTGGTTTTGCTGGGACAGTTCGGAGGTCATCCGGTGGCCTCAGTTTGCCAGATGGCCCAGGTGGGCGCAGATGGGCAGTTCTGCGCGGCGCTGACCCGCCTGCACCCCATCCTCCGCTTGCCAGACTCTGTGCTTCCGCGTCCGCAAGATGATCGACGTCTACAAACCTGACTGGTGCGAAGTCCGCGAGGCCTGGTCCGTCTACCTCTTCTCCCCCGAGAACAGGTGGGCGGGGCCAGGCTGGGGCAAGGTGGGAGCAGGGGCTTGACGTGTCGGGGAGGGGGAGAGTTCCGCCAAGCCAGGCAAGGCCATTGGTGGAGGGACCCCCAAACCCCAGTGGGGAAGGGTCTGCAGGGGAGGGGAGTGTTCATGTGGGGGCTTTCCTGGGCATCTCCTCCAGCCCAGGCCATCCCTGTGCTGGGTGCCAAGTTGAACAAAGCCTCAAGTAACCTGGGTGCTCCTGTCGGGTGGGGTGCATCAGAAGCTTCCTGGGGGAGGAGGCCTTCGTGATGGGCTGTGGAAGCAGACTTGGGGAGGTGAAGAGATGGAGGCTGGCAGTTGAGGGAGCAGTCTGAGGGGAGGCCTGGGGGCAGAAGCTGAGGGCATCAGGCAACGTGTGGCAAGTGGCTGGAGGACAGGGCTCAGGTATTTGGGACAGTGTTTGGAAAGTTTTGAGTGCCAGGGCCAGCTGGGTGCCCTTCATCCTGTGGTGCCAGGAGCTGCCGCGGTGTGTGGTCAGGGGAGGCGGCCCCAGATGGGCACCCTGAGCAGGAGTGAAGTTACCACCTGTTGTGTGGCCAGAGGAGAAGAGCAGGGTCAGCTTCCTCTAGGCCATCCTGGTCCCCATGTGTCCTGGGCTCTCTGCCTTCCTCCTGGCCGGGGTGAGGGGCAAACCCACACTCATGTGGCCCCCTGCCCACCCCTGCCCAGGTTCCGGGTCCTGTGTCAGACCGTCATCGCCCACAAGCTCTTTGACTATGTCGTCCTGGCCTTTATCTTCCTCAACTGCATCACCATCGCCCTGGAGCGGCCGCAGATCGAGGCCGGCAGCACCGTGAGTGGCTGCAGCCTTCAGGCGGGGCAAGGGACGAGGCAGAGAGGCAGGCCACCAGGGCCTGCTATGGGACAGTGTGCCAGAGCCAAGAGCTCAGCAAGGCCCAACACCATGGAAGGAGGTGTGGCAGGGAGCTTGCCTCTGGGGTGGGGAACGCCCCCTTGGACTGTGAAGTGGCCGCCTCTCCTGGATGGCTGACCAGGTGGCCTGGCAGTTCCGGGAGCCCCTGGGCCCATGGAATCTCCTGGCTCTTTCAGGAACGCATCTTCCTCACCGTGTCCAACTACATCTTCACAGCCATCTTCGTGGGCGAGATGACGCTGAAGGTAGCTCCCGGCTTCACCTGGGACCTCTTCCAGCGCCACCTGGGGGGGTGGGGTGTCTGGCCCTGGCCCGCCCCTCCCGCGGCTTGTCACTTACTTGCCCAGCAGCAACGTTCCACAGGAAGCCTCCCAGGCCCACCCCTGCTCGGTGCCATTCCTTGGGCTCCCGGGACACGGGGGGAACCACGTCCCTGCTCTCTAGGAGCTCACACCGGCCAGAAAGGCGAATGCGAGGAGAGGTTTACAGTGTAGCGGAGGTGCCTGCTGGAGGAGGGGCACAGGGAAGGGATTCCGTCAGGGACGCCTCCCAGAGCGCGTGGCTTTGAATGAGGTTTGCCAGATGTGCCGGGAGAACGCAACAGGACGGCCTGCGGGGCCCCGAGCCTGCCTCCCTTATCGCCGGCCCTCGGGGTGGGGGGATGCTAGGCACGAGTGACCTCGCCCGCCCGCTCGCTGAGGCCGGCCTGTCTTCACCCACGCTGCCCGCCCCTCCCGCGGAGTCCGGCTGACCCCGCCCATCGCCCCGCCCCAGGTGGTCTCGCTGGGCCTGTACTTCGGCGAGGAGGCGTACCTGCGCAGCAGCTGGAACGTGCTGGACGGCTTCCTCGTCTTCGTGTCCATCATCGACATCGTGGTGTCCGTGGCCTCGGCCGGGGGAGCCAAGATCCTGGGGGTCCTTCGGGTCTTGCGGCTCCTGCGCACCCTACGCCCCCTCCGGTGAGGACGCCTCCCCTGCAGACGGGGGAATCCTGCACCGTCCAGGGAAGCCCCCTGGGTCTAAGTGGGTCTCACTCCGGCTCCCGACCCACTCAGTCCTTTGATAGCAGGTGTCAGGCGCCAGCTGAGTGGGGCCAGGGAGTGGGCTGTGGCTGCTGCTCCTGGGGGAGGAGCCTGGAGCCTCTGTGTTTGTGTGTATGTTTCTGTGTGTGTGTGTGTGTGTGCTGGAAGGGTGGGGCTGAAGGTGGCCCCCAGGACTGCTGCCCACTTTCTGTGTGTGCCTGGGTGGCTCACTGCAGTGTCTGGACTTCGGGCCCCAGACGAGGGTGTAGTGTGGACCCCAAGTGGTCTGGGTGAGGGCACAGTGCCTGCTCTGCCTATAGATCTGGGGCCTGGATGGTGCTCACCACCTGTTCTGCCAAAATCTGGGTTGCCTGGCCCCCTTCTCTGCATCACCTGCCCCTGTTCTCACACCCTGGGGGCCTGGCTATGGGCTCACTACGTCCCTGGTCCCTCCCTGCCAGTGTCATTAGCAGGGCACCTGGCTTGAAGCTGGTGGTGGAGACACTCATCTCGTCCCTGAAGCCCATCGGCAACATCGTCCTCATCTGCTGTGCCTTCTTCATCATCTTCGGCATCCTGGGGGTGCAGGTGAGGGGCTCCTGGGCTGGGCAGACAGTGGGGCGGGCCTGTGGTTGGAGAAGAGACTCTAAACTCCTGTCCAGTCTCTGGACCCTGTGCCAGCTGACCTGGGGGCTCAGGCAGCCCTGGTGGAACAGCCGTGGTCCCTGCCAGCAGTGAGCTCACAGTCAGGGAGGGAGACAGATGCGGGCTCAAATGTCTGAGCGCCAGGCAGTCTGGGTAAATGGGATCACAGGGGCCCCAGCTCCACAGGAACACGGGGCTGGGCTGGGGGCAGGGGGTGAGCCCCCTGAAGGAGGTGACCTTCGCACTGGGCCTTGAAGGAGCTGACTTCCACAGGTCATGATGGGGGAAGGCGTTTCAGAGGAGGATGGGCACATGTGTAGAGATGGGACCAAGCAGCGCATGTCTGGGAAAAGACCCTGAGAGCTGTGGCGGGTGTAGAGAGATGAGGTGGGCCAACTGGGGAAAGATCTGGAATGGCAGCTAAGGAGCTGAGACTCGGCTCCTCCAGGCTAGGGACCGTGGAGAGTCTGACCCGGGCAGGGCCTGGAGCTGACTTGGATTTTGGTTTGGAGCCCAGCTCAGGAATAGGATGGGGCCTCAGGGCTGGACAGGGAGGAGTGGGCACATCATAAACTGTGTGACGGGGTCAGGGGGGTGGCTAGAAGGACCTGGGCCCTCTGGGGGTCTGAGCTGCTGTTGAGTGCCTTCGTCTGTCTTGAGTGTCAGCCCCGCACTGAGGCCCCCGGGCTCCTTGCCTGGGCCTGTGTTTGGGGCCGTAGCTGGGAGGGGCCCTGGGCACAGTTGTCCTTTGGGGTTGCTGAGAGGTCCACGGAGGAGCCATCAGGGCAGGAGGGCCTTGATGTGGACCCCGTGAGGACAGTGGCCCTGCCCCGTCCAGGCAGTTGACATGAGGAGGGCTTGGGTTCCTGGAGAGCGTCCCTTTACTTCTCTCTCCCTTGGGAATATGCAGGCAACTTGTGCCCGTGGAGTGCCTGCCCATATCCCCAGTGCAGGTCTGGGCTCTGATCTCGGGGTCTGTGGAAGACCCAGGAGTCAGACAGACCGGGCTGTGAGCCTTGGCCCTGCCACTTCCTAACTCTCAGAGGATTTGGGAAGATGCCTCGCACCCCTGGGGCTGTTTCATCTGGGAGGTACAATGAGAGCAGCCCCACTTTGTGCTGGGGATGTGGTGAGATGCTGTGGTCCAGCGCTGGGCCCAGGCTGCGCACAGAGCAGGTGCCCCTGAGGGGCGGGTCCCTCTTCTGATTTGCACCCCGCCCACACCTCGGGAGCTTTGGTAGGACGATCCCCAGCCCCTCCCCTTCTCCCAGCTCTTCAAGGGCAAATTCTACCACTGTCTGGGCGTGGACACCCGCAACATCACCAACCGCTCGGACTGCGTGGCCGCCAACTACCGCTGGGTCCATCACAAGTACAACTTCGACAACCTGGGCCAGGTGAGTGCCTCCACCACCCTCACCTGACCCGTCCCCGTGCGGGGTGACAGCTCGTAGGTGCCAGCGGCCCTGGGATTACAGACCAGGCTCCAGTCCTGCCCTGCTGGGACTTTCCCAGCCTCAGTTTCCTCTTCTGCAGCATGGGAAGGGTAGTGCTGCCCTCACAGGTGGGTGAGGCCCAGCAATCCTGAGCGCGGAGTGTCCAGTGGGCCCCTGGCACTTAGCAGGCGCTTCAGTGGACAGTGGTTCCTGGCCCCGACCCCGACCCCGGGGCACTGACAGGAGTTTTAGAGTCAGCCAGACCTGATGTGAGTCCGGCTCTGCCACTCACAGGTGGTGTGGCCTCTCTGAGCCTCAGTTTCCTCGTCTGTCCCATGGGAATGTTACTGCCCACCAGGCAGGCCGTGGCAGAGATGAAAGTGGTCAGGCCTGGCGCGGGGTGGGTTTCCCATCTGCTCCACTCTGCACGCCAGTTGCAGGCAGGACCCTGCTTGTTCCTGCCTCTCCCCTGATCCTCTCTCCTGGGGACCTGCCAGGTTTGACCCATCTGGGCAGTGCCCCAGATGCCCCCCAGCTGGCTGCCTCCAAAGAGCCTTGCCCCCCTCCTCAGAACTGCTCATGTTTCTTGAGGGCTCACCCAGATGGCTCAGTACGACTAGAGAGGAAGCGCCTTCCCTGGGTCACACAGGAGGGAACAGATCTAGGTCTGTGTGGCCCAGGGCCCGGCCCTGCCCCCTCTGCTGGGGACCCTCCAGCTGGATCCCACTGAAGCTCCCACCCCACGTGACTAGAGATCCCGCTCCCCATACCCCTGGGAGAGGAGCTATGGGGTCGTAGAGGGGCAGCGAGTGGCCAGGAAAAGGGGGTCAGGAACTAGGACACAGCCGCTCCCCCGTCCCCTCCAGGTTCTCCAGAAGCAGTGGCTTTTCATCTTGTTAACAGCTCAATGGTTGGTAAAGCAGACCTTTAAAAAAGCCGTTCCAGGAAGCTGAGCGAAAGCCAGTGGAGGCCTTTTAGGAGCTTACTCTTGACCCCTGACCTCAGTGCCAGGCCCAGACCCTGGCCCCGGCCCCCATGGAGCGTGCCCAGCTGTCTCCCATTCTGGGCATGCTTGCTGCCAGGCTGATGCCCCGGACCCGTAAGCAGGGTCTTCTCAGCAGGCAGCAATGTGAGGGGTTACAGCACAGCCCAGGGCCTTTATTCCTTCCTGGCCCACTTACCAGCTGTGCACCCTCAGGGAAGTTCCAGTCCCCCTCTGTGCTTCAGTGTGCTCATCTGTCCGTGGGGACCTGACAGCAGGTCTGTGATTCCCAGTCCTGGGCTCTCTGTACTTCAGGGCTCTATGATCTGAGGGCTCACGGGAACACTGCCCCATGGCATGTGAGGGTCTCATATGCTGGCCTGGCAGGGAGGGCTCCCTCTGTGTCCTCTGCCCTGCCCAGCTCCTGGGCCTGAGCCCTTTCTGGGCAGCCCTCAGCACCATTCCTGTGCTGGCTGGATGGGAAGGAGAGGCCAGTGAGGGCGGGAGAGCCATCCCAGAGCCCCACTGCCTGGTCCAGGGCCCTGGGTTACGAGTGAAGAGGTGTGGGGGAGCACACAGGATGGGGCGGGGCTTCTGGCTTAGGGCCTGTGAGCTCCAGTCAGCCTCTGGTGGTCTTGGACCCTTTGTGAACCCACTAATTACCAGCACGCTCGGGCTCTGCAAGGATGGCACAGGTTCAGTCCACCTTAGAAACGTTATTGAGCACCTGCTGTGTGCGAGGCTCTGTGCTCGGTGCTCTAGGACCAGCGTGTAGCCCCACTGAAGGGACATGGGGCTGCTTTGGCAGTCTGTGTAGGAACCTTGGCTGGCTGTCTCCTGGGGGTCACCTCCATTTCAAAATCTCACATTGGTGAGGGGAATTATTGCCCTTTCCAGACAAGGAAGCTGGAGCCCAGAGGCACTGAGGCGCTTGCCCCAAGTCACACAGCCAGCGAGTGGCAGAGCTTGGGCTGTGACCCAGGGCTCCTGACGTCTCTCACGAGCTCCTGTTTTCAGGTGCTGGAAACAAGCTTGGGGTGACAGTGGCAGGGCCCCTTATGTTTGTCAGGAACCTTCCAGTTTAAAGTCTCAGCCGACCCTCCCAGCAAACCTGGCAGGCAGGCCCTTAAGTATTGGCTCCATTCTGTGGGTGAGAGGACAAGAGTTCATGAATTTTCTTGCCCAGTTAATTTCAGAGCTGAGACTGGAACCCAGGACTCCTGGTCCAGTGCTCATTCTCCTGCAGCAATGCCTACAGGATATATGGCAGGTTTGTCGGTTGAGGGCACAGCTCTGCCCTCATTTTGGAGTGGGCCTCTTTGTCCTTTTGCCTCCCAGAGACGGAAAAATGGAGAGCTGAGGAGGGAGCAGATGCAGCCTGAGCTGTACCTCTGTACCCTCCCCTTCCCGTGTCTTCCAGGCCCTGATGTCCCTCTTTGTCCTGGCCTCAAAGGACGGCTGGGTGAATATCATGTACAACGGACTGGATGCTGTCGCTGTGGACCAGCAGGTGGGTGTGGCTGGGGCCTGGTCAGGCCCAGGCAGCGGGGGAGGGACACTGTGTCTTTGGGGCCCAGTGGTCTGCAACTGGTGTCAGCAAGACCCACAGCCCACCCCTCACCCTCCTGGCCTGAATCCTCCACCATCAGGGCGGCTCCTTGAGTAGCGTGAGTCATTGTTCCATTTGCTTCACCGAATCTCCTGCTCTGCAGGGAGAACACCTGAGCTGGCTCCCGCCTGGAGGGGTGCAGAACCTTGTGGGGGGAGAACCTCATGGAGGAGGAGAGGGGCTGAGCCAGCTGGCAGAGGGACAGCAGGTGCATGCCTGAGGCATGAGAGTGATGTGCTCAGGGAGTCATGAGTCGAGGGCTGGGAGTAGAAAGTCAAAGGAGAGTGGCAGGAGGTGAGTGGAGAAGGTGAAGCAGGGCTGGAAGGTCAGGAGGACCTGGGTGTACCATGGCAAGGCTGGAGTTTATCTGAGGGCAGTGGGAGCCAGTGAAGGCCTTATAGCAAGAGAGTGTCACCATCGAGTTTGCTTGTGGGAGCTTCCTGTGGGCTGTTGGATGAGGATGGATTTGGGGTGGGCCTGGGTGGAAGGGATCAGAAAGGAGGCTTGGCCTGAGAGGAGGCCTGAGCCCTCACTCCCAGGATCCCCCTGAGAGCAGGGGGCCCCTCTGGGGCAAGGCAGGGCCTTGAGGCAAGACACAGGGCTGACCAGGGTTGGCTGTGTCCAGGCTGAGGGCGTCCTTGGGAGAAGGAATAGAAGATGCTCTAGGTCAGGACAGGGCCCACTCAGTAATGGAGTCAGGGTTGTGGGCAGCCCCGAGGCCTGTAAGTGACCGCTGGCTCTTAGCCTCATGGGCCCCATATGACTCTGGAGCTGGAGGTGGGGGATGGGGACGTGGGAGGAATGAGAACACTTAGAGGCATCTTCTTCCACTTCTTTGTCTGTTCACCCCTCCTTCCCACCCGCCTCCCCCCACACACACATACACGCACACACACAGACTCCACAAAGCTGGCTGTTTTGTTTCCTGCCTTGCTTCTGGATGGCTGAACAAGTAGATGGATGGATAGATGGATAGGTGGGTGGATGGAGGGGTGGATAGGTGGATGGGTGGATGGGTGGATGGATGGGTGGATGGGTGTGAGGATGGGTGGGTGGATGGATGAATAAGTGGGTGGATGGGTGGATGGATGGATGGATGGATGGATGAGTAAGTGGATGGATGGATGGATGGATGGATGGATGGATGGATGAATAAGTGGGTGGATGGGTGGATGGATGAATGGATGAATAAGTGGATGGATTGATGAATAAGTAGATGGATGGATGGTTGGATGGATGAATAAGTGGGTGCATGGGTGGAGGGAGGGAGGGATGGATGGGTAGATGGATGGGTGGATGGATGAATAAGTGGATGAATGGATGGATGGATGAATAAATGGGTGGATGGATGGATGAATAAATGAGTGGATGGATGGATGGGTGGGTGGATGAATAAGTGGGTGGATGAATGGATGGGTGGAGAGATGGATGAATAAGTGGATGGATGGATGGATGGATGGACGGACGGACGGACGGACGGACGGACGGACAGACGGACGGACGGATGGATGGATAGATGGTTGAATAAGTGGATGGATGCATAGATGGACGGATGGATGGATGGATGAATAGATGGATGAATAAGTGGGTGGATGGCTGGATGGGTGGACTGGTGGGTGAGAAGAAGACAGGTAGATATGTCCAGGAGGCAGCAACTAGAGCAGGGAAGGGGAGGGGTTCTCTGCTGAGCACCTTACATGTGCCAGGCCAGGGTGGGCACTTCCTACTGCTACTTCCATCAAACCTCGCAGCCACCTAGAAGGCAGGCTCTGTCAGTACCTCCACTGCACTGGAGCTCAGCGCGGTGGGGTGCCCACACACGGGGGGCCCTGCAGCGCGCAGTCAGTGTGCCTCAGCCCCCATCTGGCTCCCTGCAGCCCGTGCCCAACCACAACCCCTGGATGCTGCTCTACTTCATCTCCTTCCTGCTCATCGTCAGCTTCTTTGTGCTCAACATGTTTGTGGGCGTCGTGGTGGAGAACTTCCACAAGTGCCGCCAGCACCAGGAGGCCGAGGAGGCGCGGCGGCGCGAGGAGAAGCGGCTGCGGCGCCTGGAGAAGAAGCGCCGGAGTGAGTGGGTGACTGTGGAGGGGGCCGCCCCGGCCCTTGGCCCAGAGTCCCTGCCATGTGCACATTGGGGTAGATGGAGAATCAGTGTCTTCCCTCTTTGCCACCCTCCCCCACGTCTTGCCCCTTTCCCTGTGGCTGCCTGTCTGGGTGGAGGAGACCTGGTTTCGGATTCCCAGGGCCTGGGGTGGACCGACATCTCTCTCCCATGCTTCCTCCCTCCCCTCTGCCTCTCCCTTCTTGTGTTCTGTTCCCCCCCTCGGTCCCACCCCTCTGTGGTCTGTGCCACTCCCCCTACACTCCTTGTAGAGGCCCAGCGGCTGCCCTACTATGCCACTTACTGTCCCACCCGGCTGCTCATCCACTCCATGTGCACCAGCCACTACCTGGACATCTTCATCACTTTCATCATTTGCCTCAACGTGGTCACCATGTCTCTGGAGCACTACAACCAGCCCACGGTGAGCCTGGCCCTGGCCCCAGCCTCAGCCTGAGGCCACTTGGTAGGGTTGGGGCCCCAGCAGGACCCCACCCCAGGGACAGGGTGGGCCAGGATCCGAGCAGCCCCCCATGCAGGGCCTTGTGCCCAGGAAACTCAGGGTCTGGTAGGACAGATGAGTGGGAGGGAAAGGTCACTCGTTCCTGGTGCATGGGCCTGGCCTTGAACATGGGTGACGGGGCTGTGGTGTGTTCAGTATGATGCTTTACAAGGTGTGCTACAGATATTGACTCTCTGATCCTCACAGCAGCCCTAAGGTGGGGAGGGGGAGCTTCTCCAGATTTTGTAGATGAAGAAACTGAGGCTCAGAGAAGTAGAATGTGCTGCCCAAATTACATAGCCAGTGAGTGGTGGAGGCAGGACTGGGACTTCGATTTGCATTCAGTCTGCCACGTGGGCTCCAGTGGCACCTGGGCACATGGAGCCTGGGGGACGGCGCCCCAGGCGGCAGGACCATTGGGTGCAAACACTGGGTCAGAAGAGGGTGGCACTTCCCAGCTAGTTGCAGGCCGTGCGTGTGAGGGGCATGTAGGGGCGCGGAGGGGCAAGTTCATTCTCAAAGCCTCTACTTACTAGGTGAGGAGTTTCTTATTTTAAATGATAGGAGGGGAATATTATGGGTGCAGGGGATAGGAAGGCAACCGTTGGCAGTATGGAAAAGTAGTTGTAGATCTTCCAGATTAAACATGCAGAAATGGAATAACAGTAGCTCACATTTACCAAGTGTTTATTCTGTGTCCGGCCCTGGACTGTTAGCCCATTTAATTTTCACAGCAACCTTCTGAGGTAGGGACTGTTATCATCTCCAGTTTACAAATTGGAAAACTGAGTCCCAGAGAAGTCAAATGACTTGTCCAAGGTCACACAGTGAAGAAAGAGTAAGTGCTGAGCCAGCATTTCAACTAAGCAGTCTGGTTCTTGACAGCTACCATTACCACTCCCCCAGACTGCCTCCAAAGAGGGGCACCTGGACCAAACCAGCAGAAAGAAGGAAGAGGAAACAGCAATGTAAAATAAATAGGGCACATTAAGTAAGACGGAAGGAATAAAAGCAGATACAAAAATATTGCACTAAATGTGAATGAACTAAATTCTCTCCTTAAAAGGCAGAGACTTTCTGACTGCAGGAAGGTGGGAAGCAGGTCCTGGGGCCCAAATCATGTTTCTCTTTGCCCCCCTAGTCCCTGGAGACAGCCCTCAAGTACTGCAACTACATGTTCACCACCGTCTTTGTGCTGGAGGCTGTGCTGAAGCTGGTGGCGTTTGGTCTGAGGCGCTTCTTCAAGGACCGGTGAGGGGCTGGGCCAGGCTGGGGCAGCGTGGCATAGCTGCAGGATGGGAAGGCAGCCCTGACCCCAGGGAAGCCTGGAACAGCCAGAGCAGGGGAACCAGTAAGTGGGCACTGATGGCCAGGGGCCCCCAGGGGCTGCCTACAGCCCTGAACAGGGAGGGATTATGGTCCCATCCGATGGGTGCAGGACTTTCTCCCAGGTCTCCTCAGCTTATCGCTCATGCATCCTCCATACCCCATGGGCACAGCAGGGCACACCTCATGCTAGTCCTTTTCAGAGGGAAGAAGTGAGGCTCAGAGAGGCTGATGGACTAGCCCAAGGCCACACAGAGGGAGCAGCTGGCTCCAAATTCAGACCTAGAAGTCAGAGCCCATTCTTCCTCCTCTGCAGGAGGCCAGAGCTATTTATTTAGCCTGGTCAACCCCTTGCTTGAGGGATCAGAGGCTGTTGTTGGGGGTCTGGAGGGGCTAGTAGGGAGGGTGGCCTCACATCCCTGTGGGCCACATCAGGATGGTGGAGAGCTGGGAACCTCCCCTAGCCGAGGGGTGTCTAAACCAGAGGGCCCCTCACCCCCTTCCCACTCTCGTCCTCTGCCCGGCCGAGCAGGTGGAACCAGCTGGACCTAGCCATCGTGCTGCTGTCCGTGATGGGCATCACACTGGAGGAGATCGAGATCAATGCGGCCCTGCCCATCAACCCCACCATCATCCGCATCATGCGTGTGCTGCGCATTGCCCGCGGTGAGGGCTGGGACAGGCGGGGGCAGGATAGGACTCCCTGTCGCGGGAGAGCACAGGAGTGGGGTGAGGACATGCAGGGGGTGCCCTGCTGAGCAGGGAGAACAGGAGCCAGGAGGAGCACACACCCGGCACATGCTCACCTCCTGTGTATGCGCTCACGTGCCCCCCGTCCACCGACAGCTCTGTGCCGCACCCCGCGCCCCTGCCTCCTTATAACACCGTGCCCCATGTGGTCCTGCCTGATTGGGATGAAAGGAACCCAGCGCGGCTGGGGAGACACCGGTGTTTCTCCAACACTGGCTGGGACACACGTCCTCAACGCTTCTTAAAAGCCCCTTTCTTCTCCCAGACGCCTCCCTCTCACCCCAGGCTGTCCCCACACTTCTTTCAAAACCTCCTGCCTCAGTGTCTCTTCCTCTTCACCCTGCACACGGCCTGCTTCCAGATCCCCAGGTGGGGATGTGGGGAGACCCAGCAGTGACGCCAGAGCCCTCTTTAGCCAGAGGGCGAGGGAGAGACGTGGACACTCCCGTGTCGGTCATTTTTCCTCCTCGCGGTGAATTACACACTTACACACTTTATATCCCTTTGGCCCGCTGTGCATGTCCTCCTTCTCTTGGACCGTTTTACACCGACATCCACACCTGTACACGCATGTTTCTGTGCACATCCTCATTCACCCTGTAGCTGCACCCACGTTCTTGTAGTGGTGGCATCACAGAGCCTCCCCCTTGGCTTACATGCTCCTCCACCTTCTCACTCTCCTTCCCCATTTAACGTGTGCTCACACGTGCACACGCCTGTCCCCGCTGGCCTGGGCTGAGCGGGCTGGGCCGGGTCTCGCCCACAGTGCTGAAGCTGTTGAAGATGGCTACAGGAATGCGGGCCCTGCTGGACACGGTGGTGCAAGCTCTGCCCCAGGTGAGAGCCGCTCCTTCCAGCAGCCCCGCCTGGCTGTCATCGGTTGTCACACTGGCCCTGGTGGCCTCAGTCCCCGACTTCCCTTCTCCCCAGACCTGCCCAGAGCCTGGGCAGAATGTCGTCTCCAGAGAAGCAGCTTGAGCAGGGGCTGTGAGCGGTAGAGAGGGTCCCCTCTGCCCCCTCCTTCCTGACTCCACCACGTGCTTGCCAGCCTGCTCTGTAGCTGGCCTGGGACTGGGCTCCGAGGACACACATTCTGCTCTCAGACAGGCTGATGGGGAAGACAGATGCTTCAAGGCAGCAGGGGACGGGGCCTCCAACATGCTGGAGGAGGGCCTGACCCTCCCTGGGGAAATCAGGGAAGGTATCAAGGACTTTGAGCTTGACCTTGTAGGGTGGCTTGGCAGAGGAGATGGTGATGTGGACAGAGAGGTTCAGATATGACATTCTAGGAGGGGACGGCATGAGACCCTGACCTGGGTGTAACCCTGAGAAGTCAGGAAGCCCCCTCACATCCCGTGGGCCAGAGGAAGGGAGATAGAGTCCTGGCCACAGCGGGCGCATCTTTCTTCCTCCTGGGAATTCCGCCATCCCAGTCTCGCCCGCCCCCGCTGTCCTGACTGCTTAAGGCTCCCTTTTCCCTCCCCTCTGGGGGGCCTCTGCTGTGAGGTGAGCGTCAGGCACATTCATTTATTCATTATGACTCATCTAGTCTTAAGGAACTTTAGGCATCTTAAAATAAAAAGCACAGATACAGCACGCTGCAAATGAGGATACAAGATGAACAGTCCAGGGAGGTGAAAGCAAAGTTGATTCTCTCAGGGATCTGGGCTAAGGGTGTTAGTGAGTTCCGTTCTTGAGTTTGGTGTGAGTTTCCCAGCAGCCTAGATGCAAAGGGAAAGCGACATGGCTCTCGCCAGGTCTGGGTGGGAAGCGAGGGCATTCACTCAGGGTGATGTGGCTTTCCTAACCCTAAATCCCTTCAGAGGAATTTGTCACGTGGGAGACGGGGTGAGCGCTGGTCTGGGGGGTGTGCAGACAGGAAGTGAGTTGATGTCTAGACTCAAGCCCCTGGGCGTGTGGCTTAACTTCTCATGCCTCAGTTTCCTTGCTGTGAAGTGGGGGATGCTAACAGTGCTTATCACAAAGGCTGTTGTGAGGTTTAGAACAGTTCCAGCTTATAAAGTACTGAACAGGACTTAGGTGAGAGAAGTCTGCTAAGGGTGGGGATGGGGGTGGCGAGCGTGTGCCCCCAGCCTCCCTGGCCTCCTTGCCCCCTCCCCCTCCTCCCTACCCCTCACTCTGACTCCTTGGCAACCTTGAGCTGGCACAGGAGACATGGTGATGCTCAGGACGACCCAGTCTCAAGCAGGAGACATATGGTAGTAATTACAATGACGTCAGCCCTTTAAGAGAAGCATGTGCCAAGTACGACGTGGAGTGGGGACACTTAGCCCTCAAAACTCTATGAGCCCACCTTGCACGTTTCCTCAGTTCTATGTAAAGCGCTATGAAAATGAAACTTCAGTGCCTTCCCTCCAGGCTCTGCCTGGAGCAGAGGGAGCAGGCATCAGGGAAGGCTTCTCAGAGGAGGTGACCCAAGACCTGGGCTTTGATGGGTGGGGAGGAGGCATTTACCAGGCAAAGACAGAGAGAGGGTCTTCCCTCCAGAAGGAACAGAATATGCAAATGGGCTCTGTGTCCCACGTGGCTGGAGTCTGGGGTTGGAAGATCAGGCTGGGAGCGGTGCCACAGGGCTGGGTCAGGCAGGCCTTCGAGGCCAGGACAGCACCCTTGGGCTTTGTTCTGGGGGCAGTAGGTGCCACGGGAGGTTCTGGACAAGGGGGGCCTCAAGCAGAACTGCCTTTGAGAAGGGGGCTCCGGGGACCTCGAGGAGAAGGGATTGGAGGCAAGGAGGCAGGCAGAGGCTGCAGGCTCTGGGAGACGCTGAGGGTGGAGGGAGTACCGACGGGAAAGGCCGATCCCTCTCAGCCATCGGCTCGCGGCTGCTCAGTAAGCGCTCGTTTCATTAAGGAACACAGTGTCGTTTAATTAGACACCATCAGGGTGGCTGTGGACCCGCTCGGAAGGAAGCCCTCCTCCGGAGCAGAGAGATGCGGGCAGCCTGTGCTCCAGGCGGTTTGCTTTGCAGCAGCCGGTGGGAACGTCCCCTGATCCCATCCTGCGGGTCTGCTGGGGGTTCGAGGAGAGACTGCATTTCTAGGGCGAGAGTGTGTTTGAGCCGTATCTTGTGCGTGATGCGAGTTCAAGGCGTTCCCAGTGAGTGGGGAGACTTGAAATAGGTTTGGAATCTGGGACGCCTTTCTCCCACGGGAGCTGTGGGACGGGGGTGGCTGGGTTTGCAGGAAGCTTCTGGGGCCCACAGTTCTGCATGATTCCTGTATTCACTCCTCTCCATGCCCAGTCCCTGTGCTGGCCCAGAGAAGCAGATCTGACTTAATCTAGCCATGTCCCTGCTCTCAAGGACTTCCAAGACCACAAAGACAGTGACAGGGACACACAGGTTACACTCACACTGTCAGACTGCATTCCAGTCTGCCTGGAGGAATCCAGGCAGGCTTCGTGGAGGAGGTGGCATTATTGCTGAGACCGACTTCCCTCCCTCTCCCCATTCATCCGTGGATGGTACTAACCCCAAACAGGTGTATGGCATACGACTGTGTGCATGGCCCCTGGGGAGGGCCTGCTGGATTTGAATCCCAGTCCTACCACTTATGAGCTGTGTGGCCCTGGGCAAGTTACTTCCTCTCTCAGTAGGCCTCTTCATCTGGAGAGTAGGGGTAAAAGACAGTTCGTGGATCACGTGTACAGTGAGTGAGCTAGTGAATGCAGAGTGCCTGGCACCGCGCTGCTCCCCGGGGGTCTTCAAAGTGCTTTATGCTTATCTTGTGCCCTGTGCCGGACCCAGCGGGCCCGCCAGGAGGCCACGCAGGAGGTGGCTGACACGGACACAGAGCTGGGGGGAGGTTGCAGCCCGCAGGCCCCCACGCCCCGTCCCCAGGCCCCGCCCAGCCCTGCCCGCTGTCCCCACAGGTGGGCAACCTGGGCCTCCTCTTCATGCTGCTCTTCTTCATCTATGCCGCGCTGGGCGTGGAGCTCTTCGGGAAGCTGGGTGAGTGGCTCCCGAAGCAGGTGGCGTGGGGGTGGGGCGGAAGGGGTCTGGGCGAGGCCTCAGCAGGGTGGGGAGGCCTGAGACCCAGCAGACTGTCCCGTCAGGGTCTCTGTACTGGGGAGACACCCCACAGCAGGCGACCCTCAGCCATCTGCACCTCCTCCTGGGATGGGAGCAGCATTGGAGAGATGCTCGCCTGGGTCCACATGTGTACCCTAAGCATGTGGGGTGGCCCCCCAACTTGGAACACCCCAGCTGTCCGACCTCCCAGGGACGCCCTTTGGCACCATGTGCCAGTGCCCGTCCTGAGCCACTGCTGCCCCAGCAAGCACAGCGGCCAGGGCTCAGGCCAAGGACAGCCCAGCCCAGCCCTGCCCAGAAAGCGGGGCTCCCTTGCGGCCGGCCCTCACCCCCTACCCTCTCTCTCAGGCACTGATACTGGGTGACACCTGAGTCTGAGCCCCAGCTTGTGTGCCACCTCCCTGAGCCTCAGTTTCTCCCTCTGTGGGCTGGGCACAGTTCCCACACCTCTGAGGGTTGTAGTGGGGATTCCGAGATGAGGCCAGGGCACAGCGCAGGGCGGCCGTGCAGGGGGCTCTGCCGTGGGCTGGGCCGACCTCCTCTCTCTCTCAGTCTGCAATGACGAGAACCCATGCGAGGGCATGAGCCGGCACGCCACCTTCGAGAACTTCGGCATGGCCTTCCTCACACTCTTCCAGGTCTCCACCGGCGACAACTGGAACGGGATCATGAAGGTACCCCGCCCGGGCGGACTAGGGAGGGGAGGTCAGGCTGGATCCTGGCAGTCAGGGCTCCCGGGCCCTCTGTCCGCCGGCGCTCCATGGCCCACTGGATGAGGGTGCAGGGTGCAGAGAAGCAGAGGGCCCTGCCGGGACCCTCCAGCACAGAGAGGGGGAGGGGAGGCCAGACCCGCTTCTCTGTTCGCCCCTAAATGCTGCTCTGGGATCAGTGCTCCCATTGCAGGGGACACGACTCCGCCCAGGGCCAGGGCTCCTCCTGGGGCCCCGCGGAGGCAGAGCCCTGCCTGGGCTGGGCTGGGAGGGGCTCACGGAGGACAGCGGGGAGGCCGGGCTTGGAGACCCTGGGGGCCTCACCCCCCGCCCCGGTGCAGGACACGCTGCGGGACTGCACGCAGGACGAGCGCGGCTGCCTGAGCAGCCTGCAGTTTGTGTCGCCGCTGTACTTCGTCAGCTTCGTGCTCACGGCCCAGTTCGTGCTCATCAACGTGGTGGTGGCCGTGCTCATGAAGCACCTGGACGACAGCAACAAGGAGGCCCAGGAGGATGCCGAGATGGACGCCGAGCTGGAGCTGGAGATGGCCCACAGCCTGGGGCCCAGCCCGCGGCCGGCCATCAGCTCCCCGGGGGCACCGGGCCGGGGGCCCGCAGGGGTGGCCGGCGGGGCCGAGGCTGAGGGGCACCGGTGCCCGCGCTGCTACTCGCCAGCCCAGGTGCGCGGGGCCGAGGGGGCCGAGGGGCGCCGGGGGCCGCGGGCTGGCAGAGCATCTGGGTGGGGGCCGCGGGCAGAGACCTCTGTCATTTGGGCCCCCTAACCCTGCTCAGCGCTGTTGAAGGGGTGACCCTGTGACAAGGGAGTCGGGCCTGGGCCACGGGCGCAGAGAGCCGGGGGAGGGGGGCCACTGTGCCCTGCCCACCCCGCTGGCCGCGACCTGGCCCATAATCCCGCCTGTCCCCACCCCGTCCCCGTCCGCCTAGGAGAACCTGTGGCTGGACAGCGTCTCTTTAATCATCAAGGACTCCTTGGAGGGGGAGCTGACCATCATCGACAACCTGTCTGGCTCCATCTTCCATCACTACGCCTCACCGCCTGGCTGCGACAAGTGTCACCATGACAAGCAGGAGGTAACCATGGTCCCAGGGCACTGGCACTTGGTGGTGGGGGCGGCTAGCCAAGGAAAGAGCCCAGTGGCAGGCAGAGACCCGACTGGGCCGGCTAGGCCCACACCGGCCAGCCTGGATGGTGACTGGTCTGGGGGCGAGCAACCGGCTTTGGGGTTCACAGCCCACGACAGCTTGCCTGCCGTCTGGCCCAGCCCGGGCCGGGGCCTCGGCTGACTGTGACACTGCTGTGTCGTCTCCCGCCCCTGCCCAGCTCGCTGGATCCCTGGGCCTCTGCAGCCAGTGCCCTGCATCTTTCTGGAACAGCTGGCCTGCCCCAGCCCAGCCCTGGGGCCTGAGGCTCCACCTCTCCCTGCAGGTGCAGCTGGCCGAGACGGAGGCCTTCTCCCTGAACTCGGACAGGTCCTCGTCCATCCTGCTAGGTGATGACCTGAGTCTCGAGGATCCCACAGCCTGCCTGCCTGGCATCAAAGACAACAAGGTAAGCGGCCCCAGGGGGCTCCTGGGCCAGTGGGTCTGTGCAGGCTGTCCCCGCCCGCCCAGCCAGGACACTGCTTCTTCCCAGCATACCACTGAAGTGCACCGGCTGTGTGCCGGTCCCTCATCTCTTGTTGGTCAGATGAGGGCACTGGGGCTCAGAGACGTGGCATGATTTACCTGAAGTCACACAGCAGCGAGCCCAGCCAGGGCCCCCGACATGGCATCCAGTGGCCTTGGCCACTCTTTGTTGCTTTGGATATTGTTTATCCATTTGATGGAGATTGACTCTGGCAGGCCAACCTCATGGGGGCTGTGAGGTTGAAGAGAATGGGGGGGGGGGGGGCGTCGCATCGGGCACAAGCACTTACTGTGTGCCACACACTTTACCTGCACGCAGTCTGTCTGTGCCCCAGCTCTCGGCAGTAGGGTGCTTCACCCCCGTCTCACACTTGAGTACGTGGGGCTCCGAGAAGTGAGGCAGCTTGCGCCCCTCGCACAGCTGGGAGTGGCAGAGCTGGGCAGCCTGCCCTGGGGCTGGTTCCCACCCTCTTCCCCCGAGGTGGCCAGTCTGAGAGGCCTGGAGGACTGCAAGGGCCACTGTGCGGGTCCTGCAGGCTCTGCTGCCGGCTTGTGACCTGAAGGCCAGGAGGCGGGAGGAGCTGGGAGGGGGAGGGGCAGGCCCTGGCCTCAGGTGGGGATTCAGTGGCCCTGCTGTGTGAGAGCCTCTGGCCCCTCGACCCCCAGGTCAGCCTGGGTTTGGCACCACTGCCCCAGGGCCGTCCCCCATCAGCCAGGGAAGGCTGGGGACGGGGGGAGGGTCCTCTCTGACACTTCTCCCACCACGCCCCGTCCTCAGCCCCTTCCTGTCCCCTGCACTGCTCTCCCACTCAGGGTGTCGGGGTGTCGGGGCGCATGGCTTCTGGGGCCTGGTTGGCCTCAGGCGAGCACAGTCTGGGTTTACTCAGGACTCTAGAGCCAGTCTCGGGGTCCCTCTGCCTTGGAGGGGGCACGAGGCAGCTCTGGAGGAGCTTGCTGAGGGCCGCGGAGGGGCAGGGCCCTGGGGGCACGGGGAAGGAGGGGCCGGTGCTTCTGGGTGCCAGGCCCGGGAAGGGGGTTCCTCTCTCATTCATGGAGTGGAAACGGAGGCTTGGCAAAGGGAGGGGGCCCACCCGAGGGCGCGCTCACAGGGAGGCCCCGCCACGGCGGCCATCTTCTCACGCCCTCACAGCCTGGACGTGGCCCCTGCACCGGGCCAGGGTTTGTACCAGGCACGTGCCTGAGAGACAAGAGGACTTTCCTCTGCCCTGAGGATCTCAGAGTCAAGAGAGGAGTGACTGGGAAACTGCCCCCTGCCTGGGACGTCAGGGAGGGCTTCCTGGAGGTGGGGCCCTTTCACATGGGTTTCGGAAGATGACGAGATTGTGGGCCAGGTGAACGAGGCGAGGAGAAGGCCATCCCAGGCCATGAGAGCGCCCGGGCGAGGGCTGTGGGGCAGGCATAGGAAGGCAGCTGTGGTGGGCTTGGCCATTGTCCCCCTCTCCACCTCCTACCCTGTCTACCTCCCTTTTCCTGCAGGGTGAGCCGGACCCACCTGCACCCGTGCATGTGGGGGACCTGGGTGAATGCTTCTGCCCCCTGTCCAACACGGCCGTCTCATCGGGTCCAGAGAATTTTCTGTCTGAGATGGAAGCAATCCCGTTCAACCCCATCAGGTCCTGGCTGAAACATGAGAGCAGCCAAGGTGAGGGTTAGAGCCCTGCCAGCCCCCCGCAGCCCTGATCTCAGGCGTCTGCTTCAGAGGGAGCTGGTTGAGTTCTCTCCTTAGTATTTTTGCTCACGCTATTATATTGAGTCCAGAAAGAACCAGATGGATAACTGACAATGAAAGATAGGAATCTCAGGCCTGATATAACAAGGATAAAAAATCAAGAGCCAAATAACAGAGAGACGAGATTATACCAGAAACCTGGGCTAGTGGAAGATTCATGCTGAGCTTCCTAGGAGCTGTGGTGAAAAGGGAAACAGGTTGGCACACATAGCTCTCATCAAGCAGAAGGAAAGCTGCCAAATTATTGAGATGTTTTTCTAGAGCTGAATTTGAGAGGTATTTATCCCACAGATCTTCACACACGGTGATGTTGAACAATAGAAATCTGTTGTCTTCAATAGCTCTTGTGTAAAATATCCTGATGTTTATCCTTTGGTCCTATCCTTGGCATCCTGTGTTTGTGCTTTGGGCTCTTGGCTACACTATGGACACGAGGACAGAGGACTGAGGTGATCTGTTCATCACTCGGGCTCACCTTCATCTCCAGTCCTTTTGGCAGGCAACAGGAGTCTGGTTTCACAGCACTGGCTGGGGGACGGGGCAGAGAGATGAGCTCAGCAGAAGAGGGGCCCCCAAGATGCTGAGCCTACCTCCAGTAATCCTCTGGGGGGCCTCACATGGAGCACCTTCCAGCTGCTGGGGGTGAAGTAACTTTTCCAGGGACTTTCCCTAAAGCCCACAGCCTCTGGACTGGCCATGATGGCTGAGGTGCCAAGACCCCAGACTTCCTGAACCAAAACGGCACAGGGCGTATGAGCCCTTCTGATGGAATGGAATCCCATCCCCTTTCGTTAACCATCCACTTGCGTTTTCCTTAAATAAGAAGAAGAGGTAGGATAGGAACCCCCCCACCTGGGGACATTCAAGCTGTCCAGCCACTTTGTGCACATATTTACATATTCCTGAATTCCTTCATCCCATCTTTGCCGTGGCAGGCGCTGAGGGGCCCATGGGCAGAGGCTGCTGGCCACCGGTAGACCAGCCCAGCCCAGCCCAGCCCTTGTGATCCCCTCCCCCTGTCCTTACCCCTCGCCACCCGCAGTGGAGCAGTCCAGACACTGCATCTGCCTACAGGGCCCCAGGCCTGGCTGGACCCTGGGGGTGTCAGGACTGGGTGACCAAACACAGGGAGCGAGTGCCGTGTGCCGGGTACCAGGCTGCCTCTTGTTCTCGCCACGGTCTCTCCACCCCCGAGGCAGGCATCTGGGCCCCGTCTTTGAGCCTGGTCCACTTAGCTCCAAAAGCTGTGGCTTTGCCAGCGCCCGCCCTCCCAGGAGCCACAGGGGCTGGCTCCGTCTCTTACTTTCACAGTGGGGAGGCGGCTCGGAGATGAAGACCTGACCCGGTCTCACAGCCGCCTTGTTAGGTCGCCCCTCCCCCGCCGGCCCAGTGGGAGCTCACTCTCCGAGCCGCTCCCCAGCTCCCTCTGCTTCCTCCCAGCAGCGCCCCCGAGCCCCTTCTCCCCGGATGCCTCCAGCCCCCTCCTGCCTATGCCGGCCGAGTTCTTCCACCCTGCTGTGTCTGCCAGCCAGAAAGCGCAGGAGAAGGGCACTGGTGCCGGGAGCCTCCCCAAGATCGCGCTGCAGGGCTCCTGGGCATCCCTGCGGTCGCCGAGCGTCAACTGCACTCTCCTGCGGCAGGTAGGGCCCCTCCCTGGCTCTGAGAGCGCCCCTTCGGGGGACAGCTGAGTGGGGCCTTGGACTCCCGGGTGGAGGAGGATGGGCAGATCTGGGGGGTGGGAGCTCTTGGCCTGCAGGGCCACCTCTGGGCACACAGAAGGGCTGGGGCATGGAGCAGAAGGACTCTGCAGAGCCCCCAGCCCTGTCGTGGATGGGCGACCAGGGCTCAGGGAGAGGCCGGAGCTGCTCTGGGTTCTTCCAAGCATTGTTCCTTTAGTACCCGCAGGCCCCAGCCGCGTGCCAGGCTGGGTGCGAGGCTCGGAGGTGACCGTGGGCAGCAGAATACGAAGTCCCTGCGGGGGCGTGGGGGTGGCGGCTCACAGTTCGGTGGGGGGCTCACACTTCAGTGGTGGGGAGCTCACAGCTCAGTGGGGAGCTCACAGCTCAGCGTTGCAGTGTGTGAGAAACGAGGAGCCACAATAAACGCATGGAGAGTGTAGTCTATGTGATAGCGATCCACACCGGGAAGGACATCCACAGGGAAGGGGCTGTGCGCGGACCAGGGGTGCGACGGGGCAGGTCGAGGGGCTGGGAAGGCCGGAGGGGTGCAGCAGGTGGGCGTCGGGAAGAGCTTTCCCTGGGGCAGGCAGAGCAGGTGGGGGGAGGGGGAGGGCCTACCGGGAGGGTGGCGGGAGCGAGGTCCCAGAGGGGCCCTGAGGCCGGGGTCTGACTGCGTTTGAGTGCATGACCCTGCCGCCCCCTGAGGAGCGCGGGGCGGCGTGGGGCCGGGAGCCCAGAGGGAGGCCACTGCGGTGCTGCCCTGGGAGCCACCAGCAGCTGGGACGGGGGCGGGGGAGCGGCCGGGGGTCCCGGGGCGGGCGGCGGTGGGAGGGCGGAGCGCGCGCCGCGCCATCGCCTGTTGTCGCCCCGCAGGCCCCGGGCAGCGACGCGTCGCCGGAGGGCAGCCGCAGCAGCTCGGCGGGCAGCCTGCAGACCACTCTGGAGGACAGCCTGACGCTGAGCGACAGCCCGCGGCGCGGCCCGCGCGCGCCCGCCCCGGGCCCCCGCGCCGGCCCGGGTCCCGCGCGGCGCAGCCTGCGCGCGCACCAGCGCAGCCACAGCAGCGGCGGCTCCACCAGCCCGGGCGGCGTGGAGCCCTCGGACGAGGAGGGCGCGCGGCCCGGCGCCGAGCCCGCAGAGCCGCTCAGCAGCCTCTCGCTCACCTCGCTCTTCGCGCCGCCCCCGCCGCCCGCCGGCCTCCCGCCCGCGCGCAGGGTCAGCAGCGCCAGCAGCCTGGCCGCGGGGCTCCGCCCGCCCCGCGCCCCCTGGGCCGCCGCCCGCCGCAAGGACCCGCCGGGCCCGGCCGAGCCGCCGCCGCCCCCCGAGGAGCGGCCGCCCGGAGACGCGGCGAGCAAGAGGAAGAGATGAGGGCGCGGGGCGCGCCGACGCCGCCCGCCGCCCCGTCTCGCCTTCTCTTACCTCAGGAGCCAGGGCAGACAGCAATACCTTGTCCACAACCTGGGCACCCGTGCGGGGCCGGCCGGCGCCAGGCCGCCGAGAGGGCGGGAGAGCAGGGTCTCAGAGGCTCCGCCGGGCCGGCCGCGGTCCTTCCCGTGCATAGACATATATTTATGCATATAGAGAGAGAGACAGACATATCTATTTATTTTTTTTACTGAGAGCTTATGACTTCCAGAAAGTGCTAAAGCTGGCAAGCGCAGGCCGGGGCCCAGACGGGGCATTTGCCTGATGCGGAGGACCCGGGCCAGGCCCACCCCGGGGCGGATGGTCCTGCTGGGCGTGGGCAGCTGTGCGTTGTGGGGTCTCCCTCTGGGTTGAGAGTCACTTGGAGAGGGCGCTCAGGCCTCCGAGGGTCCCTGGCTTGGGAGGCAGGCCCAGAAAAAGAGGTGAAATTCAGGGTGCATTTTTTTCCTTTAAAGAGAAAACGCTGCTAAGATCCCCCCCCCCCCACGTGTTGGGGTGTCTGTCTTGTTCCTGACCGTCTAGTTGTTGTGAAGTCTTTTGTAGACGCCCCAGAGCGCACACACTTTTAGTCAACCAGTTAGGTGTCTTTCTTTAGCAAAACCAGGGGCGAGTAGTGGTATTTTCTTAGGGCAGGGGTGGGGGTGGAGGGAGGGCAGCTCCAAGACTGGGCAGGGGGCTCTGCCCCAGGCGAGGTCCTGGACCCAGTGGGCACTTCTGTGGGCAGGGTCTGCTGTGGCTTTGCCCCCAGGAAGGCTGAGGGTAGACATCCCGGGGGGGGGGGGGTTGGGGGGGTGCGGTGAAGGGGATGGACCAGGCCCAGAGATGCTTGGAAGGTCAAGGGCACCCGCCTGGTCTGTGCTGGTCGGGGCTGCCCTGCCGGCATCTCCGAGCTCAGGCAGTCAGGCAGTCAGTGGGGTGGGTCCCTGCTGCTTCTGACCTCCGAGGCGGGCCCTGAGCTGTGGCCGTTCCAGGAGGCTGTGCTCCCCTCACCCCCCTGAGCCACTCTGCGCCCACCCCAGTGGGGCTCAGGGTAAAGCAGATCAGACGGGATGCTAAGTGGGGGGTGCGGGGGGCACCTGCCTGGCCCTGGGCCGAGCACCCCAAGTCACCTGGAGACCCATGTGCCTCCCCCACCCCCCCACCTGTCTCTGGGCCTCTGTCCCCCTCCCCTGCAAGCTGCAGATCAGGTTTCACGACAGCAGTGCTTCCCGAATGGATTCACAGACGGGTATTTTTTATTGGAATAGTTATGCATTTATTTCAATATTTATTAAGAAAAAACCAGTGCTTTGAAGCATGATTTCACAGACGCGTTGCCTAAGTCAAGGTTAAGTTTTTAAAAGCGAGTGGATTTAAGGTCAGTTTAAAGAAGAAGGTCGGTCGAGATGGTGGGGGTCTGCAGACGGGCAGAGCCGTGGGGCGGGACATGCGGCCGCTTGGGACACACTGTGCTTCAGCAATAACCAGGCTCTTTGCCCGTGTGGGCTCCTCAGACGGCTTCGGCTGGGCCCCGCCAAGGGGGCCTTGTCCTCCTTCCCAAGCCCTGACCTGCAAGAGCTTGGCCTCCAGCCGGGCTGGCAGGTGGTGTGGGGCGGGCTGCTTGATGGGCTCTGGGTGTCTGCGACCACACAGGGACCCCTGGGGCCTGGGCATGGAGCAAAAGGCACAGGTACCAAGTGACTTAAGTTTCGTGGCCTGCAGAGCCCTTCCCCCAGGAGCTGGGGGGTGAGGGGAAGGGTGGCCAGGTCCCCTTTACACGTGAGGAAACCGAGGCCTGGAGAGGTGAAGGGCCCCCAGCATCCCTCAGGGGCCTGGTAGCAGCGAGGCTGAGGACCTGGAATGTGAAAAAGTGCCCCATGTTTCCAAGGGGCTGGACTCCAGAGGCACAGCCCGGCTGCTGGCCTCTGCTGGCACCATGGACTGGGCTGGCGCGGTGGTCAGACCTGCAAGTGCCCCTGGGCCTCTGGAGCCTCAGCAGTGCGGGTGGCGGGCCACTGTGAGGATTCCGAGGTGATGCCCAAGCCCTGGGCTCCCTCCCAGGACAGTAGCCTCCAGGGCGAGGGGGCGCCGGGCCTTCCCCCTCGGGGAGCAGGTGACCTCATAGGGTCTTGTCCCCCCTGCTCTGGGCGGCCCTGCGGCTGGTGGGGGAGGCTGGGTGCACATCCAATGCTGCCCACTCCAGAGAGCCATGTGCGGGCCTCCCTGCCCTGCTGAGCGTCACTATGGGGGTGCTAATTATGGGGGCACTCGTCTGGGGAAGGAGAGGGCGCAGGTGGGCCTGTCTGCCCCGAGCAGCCATAGTTGGAGGGGAGGCGCCCCCACATTAGTTGTGCCCGTCAGCACGTTCCTGAAGGGACGCGTGTGCCGTGTGCTGGAGCTGGGAAGAGGGGCTCCGGACCTGGGAAGACCGCGTGGAGGACGGGCTGGGGCTCGAGGGGATGGCATCTGACGCTGGTCAGCAGCTTCCGTTTTCTGGCCCCAGGTGTCACCCTGTTTCATCGGCACAGTGGCCCTGAGCCCTGTGCACTGTTGCGTGACTAGCCTGGTGTCACCTGGTGTTATAAGTGATGGGGCAGGGAATACATCCTGGGTGTGTCTGACATGACACCATCCCTTTACCCTGAACCCTAGGACCCCAGAACAAGCAGACACGTGGGGAGGGCAGTTGAGGCAAGGGGACGGGCCTGAGAGAGGGTGCATCTGGGTGGCCGATGGGGCATGTCTAGAGGGAGGAGCAGCTGAGCCTAGAGGAGAAGCCTGGCCGGGGACCTCCTGAGACTTGGGGATGTTCCCAGAGGGTCAAACATACTGTTTCCAGCCACTTGGCCTTGTTTCTGTGAGCTGTGGGGGCTGGGGACCCAGGAAGCTGTGATTGGCTGGCCAGGACAAGCCCCGGTGGAGAAGGGCTGGGTGAGTGGCCCCTCCGCTCTGCCTGATCCCGTGGCCTGTCCATCACAAAAGCACAAACTTACCTTAACGCACACGGCCTGGCCCTGGGGAGAGTGGGGACCCTGGTGCCGGACACCCCAAGCTGTGTGTTTGCAGGGCTCCGCACAGTGGTGGCTGGCAGGCACCTCAGCATCTGCACAGATGGACCTGAGACCAGACAATGGACCCGAGACCAGACGGGCCCGTGGCCTACCCTGGCCAAACCCTCTTCCTGTCCCCTGCTCGGTCTTCTGCGCCAGGCAGCCCCCTAAAGGATGAAGTGTGCACAGTATCAGCCCTGCAGATCCCGGAGCCCTCTGTGTCCAGGGCCACCTTCGGCCCCCTTTGCTGCGCCGTGTAAGGGCTTGGGGTCTTAGAAGCCGCTGTTTAGCCCAGATACACGTACTCTTTTTGTCTTTGTGCAATAATCAGTGTTCCTGGCAGAGCCGGGTCCGAGCTGGGGCCCAGGGAGGAGGCAGAGACCGCCTCTTCCAGGAAGCCCTGGGCCTGGCCCTGCCGCTGTAACTATCGCACCCCCAGTCGCTGTACAGTTTCTATGGTGTGAATGAACTTCCCTCCTAGTTGCTGATGGCACTGGTCCCTGCTGGCCCAGATGGCCCAGGCATAGAGAAACCAAGTGGCAGCCGCCACTAGTGTTGTTTTGAATAAAAACCCAGAAGCCTATTTCAGAATTTCTCCATGTGTCTGTGTTGTTCTTTCCCCAGCGGGGTGGGGTGCTGTTATGTCCCCATCATGCCCAGGCTGGGGGGTTCGGGGGATCTGGGATCCAGAAAAATGCTCCATGGAAGGGTCCTCTCATGGCTGGGGTGTTGTTCAGGGTCTGCTGGGCCTGGCTCTCTCATGCTTTGGTTTGGTAGCTGAGATGCTGGACCTAGGCGAGAGGGTCACAGGGGAATAATAATCTACTCACCTTTGGCACCGTCTCCCGAATTCATATTACAGGTATTATCAGAACTCTTTTGGCTGCAAAGGACAAAAACCCAACCCAAATAAGCTAAAGAATAAAAGAAAGAGTAAGCCAGAGAGAGAGAAAAGGAAGGGAGGGAGGAAAGAAAGAAACAAGAAGGAAATAACTTAGTGGCTCAAGTAACACAAAGCCCAGAGCTGGGGTTAGCTTCAGGTGCAGTTGGATCAAGGGCTCCAACTATGTCACTAAGACACAGTGTGTCTCCATCTCTTGGCTCTGCTTCCTTCTCTGTTTCCCTCCTCTCCTAGTGGCCACCAGCAGCCCAGGCTTCAGGCTTGTCTGCCCATCCCCACGTGAACCAGAGCTGCTCTCCCCGACAGTCTGGCAGAGTCCATGGAATCTCATCAGTTGACTTGGGTATGTGCCATGGAGGTGCCATGCCCCCTCTCTGAGGCCCCATCCACTCTGGAGATGGGGGCACTGAGGTCACCCCCCCCGTAGGAAGGCCTGTCCCCTGCCTCCCCCCCACCCCCGGCGCATGACCTTGTCCCATCATCACCATTGGTCTGCTCGCTGCTGTGCTCCCTGTTTCTGCTTCATGATCTCTTTCTGGTGGCCACTGCAGCTCTTGGAGATAATAGAGAAGCTGCTGTGCCGTCCAGGCCCCTCGGCCGCCATGGACCCGGAGCTCCAGGCTCTCCCCCTGGGAGTCTCATGGGGACCCTTCAAGGCCTTTCTACCTGGGCGTCTGCCTCACTGTAGACAAAGCAGTGGGAGCAGGGAGAGTGGCCGAAGCCTGGGGGGCAGGGTGGGGGGGTGCGGTGCACATACATATGCATGTGTGTGCAAGCACCGCGCCTGCCCCAGCCTGTAAGAGCAGGCCTGCCCCTGCCCTGGGCTGCAGCCCCCATCCGGAGAGGCATCTCACCCATTTTCACATGAGGAAGCTGAGGTGGGGCACGCCCTCGACAGAGCGGGCCGGGGCCCTGAGTCCCAGCACAGGTCCAGGCCCCTCTGGACGGTGCGACCAGGCCCCAGCCTGAGCCTCATTCCTCATCTGTGAGACCTGGTCGAGCCGCCCAGCCCTGGGTCTCATGGCCTGGAGAGGTCCCCAGAGAGCACGGCTCCAGCCCCTCCTCTCCCAGCCCCTCGAAGCTGACCTGCTGGACTCCTCCCCTGGGACTCCACGTGTCCAAAACCCCACAATCGCCTTCCGCCAGCCCGCGTCCCCTCCTGGAAACCTGTGCCCCAGCCTCCACTCCGCCCTCCTCCGCCACCAAGCCACCCTTCCACCCCGGAGCCTCCTTTGCTCTCCTCCCCACACGGCTGCCTGCTTGGGTCTCATCGCCCTGGATGGCCCTGGATTGTCACAGGCCCAGGGCCAGCCCCTCCCATCCACAGCCGCAGCACCAGTGCGATGATCCCACAGGCCCATTGGTCGCCTCACCTCTCTGGGGCTCTGGGCTACCCTTGAGATAAAGTCCTGAGCCCTCAGCTGGCGCACTCGCCCTTCCAGCTGTCCTTCCAGCCATCGTTCCCCCCCGCAAGGCTCTCCAGCCCCCTCTTCACCCTCTCTGCCCCTTGCCCTGCTGAGTGCCCCCCGACTTCACGGAGGCCTCTGAGAGTGAACGTGGATCTCTCTGAATCCTGAGGGTTCACTTCCAAGCCTGTCCCCCACGAAACCGGAGCTCCCCCAGAGCAGGGACACGTCTGGGCTGGGCCAGGGCCGGAGCTCCACCAATAGTTGTTGGGTGGATGGAGGGAGCAGGGCAGGAATCATAGAGGACAGACAGGGGCAGAGCAGCCGTGGCCCCGTGGGCTTGGGGTGGGGCTGCAGCCTCCGCCGGCAAAATGGCCACAACAGCATCCCCCACACAAACCCCAGCTTTGGGGTTCAGTGCTCCCCCCCAGCTTCTGCTGAACAAAGCTTGGGGCCTGCTCTGTCCTCTCTCCTCCTCCTGCTGCTGGATCCAGGCTCCCCGCCAGGGTAGTGGCTGGAAGTACACAAGTGACTCTTTACTCCCCCAGAGCCTGCACAGGCCACCCACCCACCACAGTCACCGCCACCCAGGATTCTGGGGCCGCCTCGCGCTGGCTCCCCTCCTGCTCCCGTCCATCAAACTCCTCTCCATCCCTTCCGCCTGCTGACCCCCAGGGCCGCACCCTACAGCTCATCCTGCTGGGCCCTTTGAAGGCCACATTCCTCCTTCTGGAGCTCTCTCCTCCCTCCCAGCCCCCATGCTGTCACCGCCTCCTTTCTCACCGGACCCTTGAGGCCAGGCCCCTCCTCAGCTGCCCTGTCTCAGCCTCTCACTCTGAGGGCTGCTCGTGCGCTGCCGACCCCACGTCTCTGCCTCCAGCCCGGACCTCGCTTGGTCCTGCTGCCTGCCGGAGGGAGGGCCCGGGGCTGCGGCAGCGGAGGCAGTGAGCAGGGCTTCATTCCCCAGCTGATGGTCGTGAGGGTGACTACGTGACTGATAGCTCCTGAGCTGAGTCCTGAGCTGGTCGGGCTCTGGGGCCTCAGAGGAGATCTGGTGTGGTGCTGCCTCGGGGTGCTGCCACTCCAGTGGGAGATGGACAAGTGTGCGTGGCTCTCACCCACTGTGCCCAGACCCGGCTGCAGGTGTGACCAGCGCTGGGGATGCAGGCCTCAAGGCCACCGCCCTTTCACTGAGTGTCTGAGCACCTGTTTCACTCTCTCTGTCCCAAGCCTGCCTAAACACCTCCTTGGCCCTGAAGGCTGAGCCTGCCCCCAGTGTCCTGTGGGATGGCGCCCAGCCTCTAGCCTCCTCCATTCCCTTTCTCTCCCTCCTGGCTAACTCTTACTTATGCCTTCAGGTCTAGCTCGAATGTCACTTCCTCCAGGAAGCCTTCTGGGCTGCCCCGTGGCTTTGTCTGTTTCCTGCCTGAGTTCCAGCCTGAGGGCAGCGACGGTGGTCTGTCCTTCCAGCCCAGAGTCTGCTGCTCTGTTGAGAGAATGTCAACTCTGTGCCCGTTTTGTGGAAGCAGAGGGATTTTCGAGACCTCCCCTTCTCTCATTTGTCTATCTGAGGAAACTGAGGCCCAGAGAGGTGGCCTGCAGTGCTCAGGGTCACACAGGAGGCAGTGCCGGGGGGACTGTCACCCACACCGCCCCCTCCACTGCCAGGAAGCCAGTGCCGGTCTCCTGCGTGGCCGCCGGCCCAGGGAGTGGAGGCCTGCTGTCTGCCTCTCTCTTCTCTGTTAATAATGGGATTAAAAACAAGTTGCTGGCAGGAAGAGAGACTGACAAAAAAAAAAAAAAAACAACCCAAGAACATTTTAAGGCAGTGAAAAACTTCAGCCATCAGCACTTTTTATTTAGATCTGAATTCATGAATTTTAACCAAATAAACACTGGCATGTTAGGTATTAATATATGAATGATTATGCGAAACCACTATTATAGCTGTAATGAAAATTAGATTCCTTCTCAGTGGTGGCCTTCCAGGAGGGAAGCGTCCTCTGGCTTTCAGCACGGTGACCTCAGATTTCTGTTGCCATGGTAACAGGGCTGCTGTGGGAATCTGTGGACATGAGGCTGGTCCTGTGGAGGGGGGCGGCCAGCAGGATCCAGCTGGGCTGGTTCGGACCTGTAGGCCCCTTGTCGGGCCAGGGTGGGGGCAGCTCTGTCCCCTGGGTATTCTGAGCCTCGGAGGGGAGAGGACAAGGAGGAAAGGGGACAAGTCACCAGTGGGAGAAGTGAGGTGGGCAAAACCAGCAAGCGACCGTACCCCTACGTCACCCACAGCCTCTTGCTCCCCGTCTTGACCACCCCTCCCAGGAGGTATCCCTTTTATCTTTCAAGAAATATCCATTGAGTACCTACTGTGTGCCAGGTCTGCGCTGGGCACTGAGCACACAGCAGCCACAGTCTGTGCTCATGAGCCTGCATCCCAGAGCGGGAAGCGGATAGAAAGCAGCGAACAGACACAGGAGGGGGGTCGTTTCAGAGTTGCGTGCCAGGAAGGCGATGGAACCGGTGATGTGGCTGGGAGTGGCGGGGGCAGGGGGAGTCCTTCCGCCAGGGTCAGCCTCTGAGGCCAGAAGGACGAGAGGGAGACAGCCATGCAGAGGCATTGGCCATCCCTCAAAGAGGAGGGTTGCCAGGACACAAAATGCAGCATGCACAGTTAAATTTGAATTTCAGATAAACCACAGATAATTTTTTAGTCTAAGTGGGTCCCACGCAGTATTTGGGACATACTTACTCTAAAAAGTTATTTGCTGTTTATCTGAAATTCAAACTCTTTATTTGCTGAATTGGCAAGCCTGTCAGAGAGGGAGTAACTTGCCAGGCTGCGAGCAGCAGAGGGGGGCCCACACCCTGCCCACTCACCCCACCACCCTGCGCTCGCCCTGGCCCACTGCCCACGGTCTCCCCGGGGTCTCGCCCCGCAGTCTGAGCTCACTCTGAGCCATCTGCCCTGCCTCTGCTGCCCTTCCCTGCTCCGAGGCTCTGGGCCTGTGAGGCCCGGGTGCTCTGCTCCCCACGGCCAACCAGCCTCACCTCCTGGCCTGGCCTCCCCTCCCTGCACTTGGCTCCCTGTTCCTCAGCCTTCAAGCCCCAACTCAGGCCTCGCTGCCTCGAGAAACCTTCCTGCAACTGCAGGTTGTCCCCACCCTCTGATGACCATCAACACCTCACCTTTTTCTTTAATTAGCCATATTATTTTTATTGTGGTAAAATATAAATAACATAAAATCTACCATTTTAACCATTTTTTAGTGCACAGCTCAGTGGCATGAA